GTTTGGTATGGTATGGTATGGTATGGGATGGTATGGTATGGGATGGGATGGGATGGGATGGGATGGTATGGGATGGTATGGTATGGTATGGGATGGGATGGGATGGGATGGGATGGTATGGTATGGGATGGGATGGGATGGGATGGTATGGGATGGGATGGTATGGTATGGTATGGTATGCTAAGCTATGGTATGTATCATATTATTTATAGACAAAAAACACGCTCAACTGACTTTCAACAAAAAATGGTATCATATTATATCATATCATTTGGTATGATATGACATGGTTTGGAATAATATGGTATGGTATGGTATGGTATGGTGTGGTGTGGTGTGGTATGGTTAGGAGTGGTGTGGTGTGACATGACATGACATGGTATGGGATGGGATGGGATGGGATGGTATGGTATGGTTTGGTATGGTATGGTATAGTATGGTATGGTATGGTATGGTATGGTATGGGATGGGATGGGATGGGATGGGATGGGATGGGATGGGATGGGATGGTATGGTATGGTATGGTATGCTATGGTATGTATCATATTATTTATAGACAAAAAACACGCTCAACTGACTTTCAACAAAAAATGGTATCATATTATATCATATCATTTGGTATGATATGACATGGTTTGGAATAATATGGTATGGTATGGTATGGTATGGTATGGTATGGTGTGGTGTGGTGTGGTATGGTTAGGAGTGGTGTGGTGTGGTGTGACATGACATGACATGGTATGGGATGGGATGGGATGGGATGGTATGGTATGGTATGGTATGGTATGGTATGGTATGGCATGGTATGGTATGCTAAGCTATGGTATGGTATCATATTATTTATAGACAAAAAACACGCTCAACTCACTTTCAACAAAAAATGGTATCATATTATATCATATCATTTGGTATGATATGATATGGTTTGGAATAATATGGGTCTCCGTGCTCATCTATGTTCAACAAGCTACAGCAAGTATCAAGTAAGCTTAACAAGACAGGAAGTGGGTAAAGTCCGCCTTACCTTATGAAGAAATGTGAGTGAGAGTGCAACTTAGCATTTAATTTTAATTAAAGGATTCAAGAAAATACATAAATAAGGGCTAAAAAGTTATCTCAGCAAGGTTTGGAGATGTTTAATATGCCATGCATTAATGTCTTTTCTTCATCATTTAAAGCTAGTGCCAGCAGGAGTTTAGCTTAGCTAGTTTGAAAAAGTTGGGACATGTGCTAACAGCAAGCTTGGCTTTGTCTAAGGACATAAAAGTGCTTGTGTGCTTTCTTGTCAAGAGATGACTGATACTAGTTTCCTGTTTGTACATTTACAGAGAAGCTACTCCTAGCAGCTAATTAGCTTAGCTAATCTTTTATCTAAACAGGGGAACACAGCTATCATCACTTAAAGGGCCCATATTATGCTTTTTCTGGTTTTATATGCTCTTTAGTGTGTTTTCCAAGTGTCCTGTGCATGTTTAGGCACATCTATGTGCAAAATTTCAAAGTCCGCGGAAACGCGGCTTCTCCTACGTCCTCCTGTTAGCTGTAGCATTAGCCGCATGTAACGCTCGGTTCTAGCCCCCCTCGATAAAAATTTGTCAGTCCGGAGTCATTGTCAGTGTGAGATCACTGATCTAAGCCCATTGGCTCGTTGTGGCAAGCCCTGCAGCTCATGTTGAAATTTCCGAGACGTGTGCTGAGCAACTGACCAATAACGACAGAGCGGATCGGCAGACCAATCAGAGCAGACTTGGCCCACGTGGGGTCTAACAGTGGGGGCTCAGCAGAGCGTAGCTGACGGACTCAGAGCGTGGAGGGAGCAAGGAGGAGCAGTACATGAAAACAGACACTTTTTTTGGACTTTAGTGTGAACGTGGCTGCACAAGCACTGAAAGTCACACACACCCACTCAAAAGGCCTGTTTTTTACAGCAGGAATTAACATGTTTACAGCCTGGTTCAAAAAACTAAATTGGTCTGATGAGCTCATGTCTCTATCTGCACACGCTGTACCGCAGGGTGGATAGCTAATCCCTTTTGATTATATGAAAGATATTTGTATTCACAGTAAGGCACGTAGCTGACCTGACTGACTGACGGGCAGGCGCACTGCTGGAGGCTTCATAAGTCGTTAGATTGACTGAAAATTAGGATTAGACTGCATTTCCAGCATGGCGACCACCATCGACTACCAAAGCCCCTTGCAGTAACAGATGGGTCACTCAGGCTTTGTTAGTAATATTTACAGTCTATGATATACATACATTTTTATTTACATAAGAAAGATTGCAGGTTTATTGCAGCTTTGCATCTCCTTTTACTTTGATAAGCAAGAAGCTACATTCCTGTCTTGAACAGTTTGATCAGCACAGAAGAATCTTCTTTTTTTTGGTCAACACTTCTCTGAAGTTGTTTTTAATGTTCCTCTCACTTCTGGTTCCTGCGCCTGCAGCATTAAACTGACGGGGCACGTCTGCAGAGAGGCAGAGCCAAACCTCCCTGCCGTTTCATGTCGCTTTGCCCATAGGCAGGGACATTACCAGACAAGTTGGCAGCTGCACACTCATTCATCCCTGTTCTGTCAGTTTGAGCACATCACAGACACAAAGCGAGTCTGTGCCTCGGTATTTGGATCAGCATCTAAATAGACTAACCGCAGCTTCTCTATAGAAACAATCAGAGCACATTGTTAATGTATGTGTGTGGGGGGCAAGAGACATTCTAGCAGCAGAGGGATATAAGGAGAAGTCCTCATGGTGTGTAGTGGAGTGTGTTTCAGTGAGAGGACAGTTCTACCTCTTGATCCTAAATCAACAGTGAGAGCGGGGGACTTCGATTTCTCAACTCACCTCGAAGTGATGAAACAAGATCTGTTCAAATATGCAAAAGGAACAACAACAAATAAAAGGGAGACATTGTTCCTCCGTTTTTCTTAGAAATATTGATATTAACACCCACTTTTGGAATCTTAAATGTTTGACCTCATTTGATGTTATCAGTGTTGTTTATGTCTGTGCCTGTGTTTGTGCACTGTTCCCTGTATGGTAACCTCTATGGATGGTTACCTCTGATACGTCTCAGGTGACTTCTGCACACATTTGACCTGACCTGTCAGTCCAAGTGGTAAAAAAAACAAAAAAACTAAACATCTTCATTCGTACATCTCAAGATTGGTTGATGGTGATACTGAGTGTAAGAGAAGGGGACAGTTGAAAGAAGTACTTGTGTTGGATCTATCATAGACTGAGCGCCCTCTAGTGGATGAATGGACCAATTACAGTTACTTTTCCCCTTCTCTCTTATGACTGATGGTTATACAAACTCAGCCGATTAATCCTCTTTTAATGGCGGTTGTAGTGTTGCATTGTTCTTCTATTTTACTTTTAAAAATGAAGAGAAATGATCATCATGATAATTTGGGAGGATAAAGTTTTGGTTGCTGTTGATAGTTTGCCCTCACCACTCAGGATATTCTGCCTTTGTACCTGCACCCCGACGCCATGGCGCACACTAAGTCATCTGTGGCTCAGTTGGTAGAATTGTCGTCTCTCAACCAGAAGGTCGAGGGTTCTGTCCCCATGTCCAATGTGTCCTTGGGCAAGAATTGCTCCCACTGCTTCGTCGGTGGAATATGAATGTGTATGAATGGGATTAGTTACTTCTGATGGTCTCACTACATAGCAGCCTCTGCCATCAGTGTGTGAATGTGTAGGTGTGATCTGCGGTATAAAAGCACTTTGAGTAGTCAGAAGACTAGAAAAGTGCTAAATACCTATTTATTTACCATTAACTACATGTAGATATGTGAGAAACCAGCTCATACTATGACACTACCAGTATCATTTGGGTTTGACTTTCCATCTTAGGGGTCATCAGTCGTTGGGGACTTGGGTTGGGAGCTAGTGGTTCGCTGATCCAAGTCTGAAAATGTATCTGGTAGCTGCAGAGGTGCTTGTTCACTTCCTGAGCACTGGCACCCCGGCAGTCTGATAACCTGCAGAATAAACATTTCTTCATCCTTCTCTAATTAATAGACATATGACCTCAAATACGAGGGATACATGATACAATACAACTAGATAAATGTATTGAATTACTTTAATTGTGATGCATTAAAGGAAGAATGTGCAACATTTTACACATAAATACAGCAGAAATCAAGTATATCCTGTGTTAATGTCTCTTCTGGTCATGACTGTCTATCATGAGTGGGAAGTGTTAGTCCTGCCAGCTGTACCGTTGTCGGATCCGTGTTTACATGGACGGGACGGCCTTGCAGCACGTTGCTGCAGGAGCTGGGGATTGAACGACCTTAGTAATGATTCTAGGGTTGGTAGGGGCCCGAGGCAAACATTTACAGGGGCCCCTCCAACGGCAACTGACTCCCGGGGGTGATTATCAAACTCGTTCACAGCCAGCTAAGCGCACACATTGACGTTGGAGACAAAATTGACTGTACTGCTAGCATGTTAATGAATATACCATGATGTGATGCTCGCGAAAGTTATGCTATTCAAGTTTCTCTCCACTGCTGTAGTTTAAAGTTGGTCAGTCCTCAGGGGCCCCCTACTGACCAAGAATTTGCCTGCCCCGCTTGTTGACAAGCAGCACCGCTGCACGACCTTCTGGTTGAGAGACGATTGACTCTACCACTGAGCCACAGACGTCCAGTTCAACCTCCAAACATATTGACGAGGAACCTGTTAAGAACTTTCTTCTGGATTAGTTCAGTCTTGTCTTTTCTCTCTTATCTTATTGAAATATCTCCTTTGCAAATGTTCCATTCAATGTCCTTTTCAATGTCATAAAGAGGGAAGCGGGTGTAAATGTTCACATAGACTTTGGACTCTGACTTTCTAACAGGAATCTGAAGTCTCTTTTCCCAATCTGGAATGAGCATTGGCACTTTGACTTGGATGCTTCAAATCATGGATTGGCCTTCCACCTTACTCTTCTATGACGCCTCCTTACAATTCCTAATTTAAAGACACACACACACACACATTGTTTTTCCTTTTTCTTTTTTAATAAAGGCATTATCATATGTCATATTTTGGTGGTACATAATTCAAGTTTTTATAGATTTGGTTCACAAAAGAATCACATTTAACTGAGCAAACTTCCCTAAATGAAACAATTCTGTAAAACGTAGCTTAAATAATGTTAGAGTACAAAAATAAGTGGGTTTATCACAAAGGATGCTTTTCGAAGAGGAAAGTACAGTGGCACAGCATTTTTCTTTGTAGAAAAAATAAAATAAAAAAGTTCCTCCTTTTCTTTATTTTGTCGTTGTTTCGCAGCAAACAGCTGATTACAAAATGATACATTCACTGGCTTTCTTCATCCCACTGGCAGAAGGCACTAAAGCACACACTTGGATCAACTAGTATGTGCACTTATGGCTTGTTTTGTTTCCTATTTAGATGTCAAAGCGACAAATGGTTTTCCACACAGGACAACACAGTCAGTGCCAGAAACTCAAGACAATCACAGAGTATGAACAGTACATGTCCTGTCGTGAGTTCAGGCAAACACTACGTTGCAACTTCTAATTGATCCAAGTCTGCAAAGGAGTCCAGGCTATTTTCAAGACCAGCAGTAAGTGCCCTGATAAGCCTTAGTTCCACTGCCAGCTCTGACGTGCAGTCAGACTGAACTGAGCTGCCCCTCGAGGCTGGTTTGTAACAGTGCAGACAGAAGGCAGTTCTACTGCATCAGCCCTGCATCTTTAGCCATGCCGTAGAAGATTCCTCTCTGGGATATGAGGTTGGTTGGAGTGTCGAACTCTGCTATCTGTCCCTTGTCCAACACCAGCACTCTGCAAGAAAGAAGAGGAGAGAAGAAGTCATTTACAAAGCCTGATGTATGATGTACCAGCATATAAACCGTTGAGGGGAGCCCTGGTATTTTTAAACCGTGTCCCTGCATTGCAGATGTTATATATATATATATATATATATATATATATATATATATGTGATTTGGGGTATAAATTACTCGGGGGGAGGGGGGGGTTCAAACAGTTTTGGAATTACACTACAGCCAGCTGCAGCAAACTTGGGCGTAATAAGTCTGGAAGAAATTTGGCACTAAAACCACCCGCCGTCCCTGATGCCAAGCCTCCATCATCAGACTTTGTCGTCCCAAGAACCACCGCCGTCCTCCTTCATGCACGGCCTGCTCCAGCCTCCACCTCAGCGGCAAGGAAGTGTGGACAACAGGAAATTGAGGAATACAAAGGAGAAATCCTTCCTGCATCTTATACAATATGCTCTTCTGTAAAGCGTCTCGTGATAACATTTGTTATGCATTGATGCTGTACAAATTATGATTGATTGATTGACTGACTTTAGTCACTGATAGGCTCAGATCGTTACTTGAATTGCATTGTGTAAAATTTACCCTATAGGATAGTGGGATACTTTTTGTGGCCATAAACAATACTTTGACATCACTCCCTTTAAAACTCCTCGACTCCACTGACAAAACATATTTTTTTACAGAACACAAGAGTTGCCGGTCGATCACTGCACATTTCTGCGTAACTTTAAGTCTCTATAAAAGCACAGACCTTTATACTCTTTAGACTTTAAATCATATTCTGTTGAAGTTCCCTGTCTGCAGGAACACGGCTGTTTTACAGCTTCTTACTGTTTCTGCTCTTTTTCTTTGCCAACTGTTTTGCACCAAAGCACCAAGTCAAATGATTCGTTGTGTTTGTAAATGAACTTGGCAATTAAAAAAAAACAATTCTGATCTGATTAAATGAGGCAAAGCCTACGAGTTAGTTCAGGCAGACAACTCGGTCTGCACTGATCTCAAACTTGACAAGAGTCAAGTGAGTCATTCTCAACAATCACCTGACAACACAGCCTTCCAATTAGCCATCTATTTAAGCTGCAGGATTTCCGGTCTCTCGCTCTGCTCTCTCATTGTGAGCTCTGACCTGTGGTGGAGCACTCTGGCTCAGCCCCTGCCTTTCTTAAGGGCACCTCGGCAGTGCTCAGGAAGTAAACTGGCACCTCTTCAGCTACCTGGATCAATTTCCAGATTTGGTCTGCACCGGGACTTCAACTGGCGACCCTCCAGATCTCAACCCGAGGCCCTTAGACTGAGCTACTGCTGCGCCCATGAGCCATTACAGCCTGTGTTTGGTCTGCTGGTCGAGAGTAAATCTACTGAAGTCGTTCAGACCCTTTTAATTATTAAGTCTAGGCTTATAAAAACCTTTATTCCCTTTTACACTCATACGGCTAGCAGGCTCTACTTTACATTGTAACATATCAAATAAATCCTAAATCCCTTTATAGACTCATAACATGCAACACTGGTGTCCTGGTCTGTCTATTGAAGTGCTGACTGTAGATCATTCAGACATACAGTGCAGCAGCGTTGTGACCTCCAGATCGCTCATCTGATTCAGCACTTTGTGCACACTGCTGATTACTGACTGAATCTTTGCTGCTTCTTAAGAAGATTTGAATCAATAAATTCACTGAAATGATTCAACTCAGAAAGATTTTCTCTGGTGGAGTGCTGTTTAAATAATTCTCATGATGGCATGTTGCCTTGAGCTCAGCAGTTCTTCAGAAATCGAATGTAATATAAACTGTCAAACTTAAAGTGCTTTGATTTTTACAAACAGAACAAAAACATTCTGTTCCAAGTGCAGTTCAATCATATAGCACTACTGCACCTTGTGTAATCCATGATTGTGTTGAGTCTGTGAGCGATAGTAAACACTGTGCAGTCCTCAAACTGGGTTCGAATGGTCGACTGGATGAGATCATCTGTCTCCAGGTCGATGGCAGCTGTCGCTTCATCCAGGATGAGGATTCTCGTCTTCCTCAGGAGAGCTCGGGCCAAACACACCAGCTGCCTCTGGCCCACACTGTAGAATAAAACATGAGCGCACAATGCATCAAACACGAGAGACTTTCCTTTGTCTACTGCTTCTAATAAGGCAACAAAAAAAAAAAAGGATGAGTCCCAACGCTGCAGACCTGAGGTTCTCTCCTCCCTCCGCACACTCCAGCTCCAGTTTGGCCGGCTGGTTGCTCACAAACTTGTGAAGGTGAGAATGCTCCAGAGCTTTCCACACCTCTTCGTCATTGTATTTCTCAAAAGGGTCCAGGTTCATCCTCAGTGTGCCTGAGAACAGGACCGGCTCCTGTGAAAAAAACAAAAAAAGACAAACACTTTAAAGATGTTTAAAGATAACAGACAGACCGAATACATCACTTTCATTGTTGTGTTATTACACTTTGGAAGATCGAAAGTAGTTTTAGAAGATTATTTCCAAACAGAATGCTAAGACAAAATCATAGCATTCTGTTTTTTTCTTGGTTTAATTCATTCAGTCTGAAAATAGTGGAAATTGCCCAACAGGAGTACACGATATTTTCAAATGGTAAATGGACTTGAGCTCATATAATGCTTTGTCTAGTCTTCTACTCAAGGCGCTTTCACACTGCAAGTCACACCTACACATTCACACACTGATGGTAGAGGTTGCTATGAAGTAAGACCATCAGAAGTAACTAATCCCATTCATACGCCACCGATATAATGTCATTGTCTTCTTTTCTAAAAATGATTCTTTTATTATTTTGACATTAAAATGTAATTAGTTTTCAAGGTTGGAAGAGAGACAACCCCTGCCTGAAACACAATGTGCTAAATGCTGCTTTGAAAGAATGATACTGTAGTGGTTATATTGGTATGGACCTGCAGTGCTAGTTCAACCAGTCAGCTATTCATCACAAAAATGTTTTTTCCTCTCTCCTGTATTGTGAGGTGTGTGTGTGTGTATGTGTGTGTGTGTGTGTGTGTGTGTGTTGTGTACCTGTGGAATGATGGTGAGTTTTGACCTCAGGTCATGCAGGCCGATCTCAGATATCTTCACCTCGTCGATGGTGATCTCTCCGCCAGCAGCTTCAAGCAACCTGAAGAGGCAGAGAGTCATGGAGGACTTTCCTGCTCCTGTACGACCTACGATACCAATCTATAGAGAGGAACACAGCTGTGATTAGAGAAGCCATCCTGCTGACCTTTTATTTTTTAATCCTTATTGATCGATTAAACACAACCTCCCCCCCCTTCCCCACCTTCTCCCCTCCTTTGACGTTCAGAGTGAGCTTCTTCAGGACCAGGTCCAGTCCCTCTCTGTATCGAACGCTGTAGTCCTGGAACTCCACGTTCCCCTTCTGGGGCCATTCAGGCGGGGGCTTCTTGTCCTCCACCTCCCAGGGGGCCTGTGAACACAAACTCAGCACTTTGGACTAGGAAAACCTTCTGAACAACTCATTAGCCTACTACTTGGATTGTAGAGCGACTGATTTGTTTATCACTCTGAAAAGTTGAAGAGTCAGGAGCAGAACTGCCAAACATTTATTTCACCTCTGAGACACCATGGATGATCCAAACAAAAGTTTTCACTAACAACTATAGCAGCTTAGAAAGACGCACGCTAAGATTTGAGACAAAAATACGACATTCATCCAAATTTTTTTTTTCAAGTTTCTGCAGATTAGAAACTACATGTGTAAGACACAAAACTCTCTAACCCTTCACTCTCTCACCTCTATAGAAAAGTTAGCAGTGAACCATCACTCCACGAGTGGTCAGATTTCTCGCTTTTACAAGATAGCTATGGACAGCTCCAAGGAGTCCTCGGAAAGGAAAAGACTTGAGTGGTGTGAGGATATAAATGATGAGATCACTGTCGAGGATTGGCAAGAGATCTGCTTTAATGCTCAATCCATAAATACCTGTTTTTAACATCTCCAGTATAAGTGGATAATGAGACAACATATATCACAGACCCTGTTAAATAACCCCAGTGTTTCCCCTACCATTATATTGGGGGGGGGGGGGTGGCCCCAATATAAAAAAAAAAAAAATTAAACAATTTTTTTTAATTTTTTTTTTTAAAGATTTCTTTTTGGGCTTTTTGTGCCTTCATTGTAGGGATAGGATAGTGGATAGAGTCGGAAATCAGGGAAGGAAGTCATTTAAAGATACCTTTCCGATAGAAAAGGACATCTGTCATTAAAAGTAATACATGAATACCAAGATTCAAGTGTTTGTGTCGTCGTGTCGCTGTGTTGGCATGTCGGCTTGGAAATCAGTTAACAGACCAAACCTACAGAAGTGGCTCGAAGGATTACTACTCAGTCTTACCTTAGATAACCTTACTATGGTAATTAAGGGAAAACATTCTAAGTTGAAGAAAATATGAGGTTCTTTTATGGAATTTATAAAAGGGAAAAAGTATGTAGATGCCTGTTTGCCTTGATTAATATAATTTATGTGTGTTTTTCTTACTTTCCTCATTACATTGTTGTCCTTGAGGAATCCAACTTATTTCAAAATGGTTTGATGTCAAAGCCTGGTATTGTACCTTGTCGTGAATGTTCTTGAGTGCATCTTAATTGTAGGTTTGTCTGTATATCTGTGTAGTTTTTGTTATATTGAAAGTGTAATGTAATATTGAAAATCTCAATAAACACACTTGCTTGAAAAAGAAAGAGGCACGCTGAGACAGCTCCTGAGAAAGTACACTGTGTACAGTACTAACGGCCTGTTTGTCTTATGTAACAGAGGGGCCCTGGCTGGCACCAGGTGATCCAACGTTTCTGGAGCTGGTTATGGTTTATAGGTCTGGTGTTTGTTCGAGAACACGTCTTGGCAGCAGGCTAGTTCATTAGAATGTGGGCAAATTCCTACCTTTTAATTGCAGCACAAAGCCAACACTATTAAAAGTTTGAATGCAAACACATGCACAACTCGACTTGAATTTCTTTGACATATTAGAAAAGGAGAGGTCACACCTTGAATGTTCATACACATGTATAAAGTGGAAGATACCTCAGTCTTGGTCTCAGAGTACTCTTTCACTCTCTCCACTGCTACTATGTTGTTCTCCAGATCTGAACACATTCGCACCATCCAGTTCAGAGACATGGTAACCTGAGAAGAAAAATATAATAATACACTTTTAAATGATCTTGAAATATATAATCGCCATCATTCTGAACACTGCTGTGTGAGATGTAGTAGTGAGTGTTTGAGAATATTAGTAGTCAACGCAAAGAGGTCTTCATAGTTAGCTTAAAGTGACATGTTTAGAATCTGACAAAACAATGTCATCTGGAGGCAATGATAGATGATCAACATTGTAAGCTAAAAGGATTAAAGGATCACATGTTGTGTAAAATACACTTCACCATGTTTTTCAAACACTAATATGTGTCCCTAGTCTTTCTAGAAAATCTCCAATGATAAGTAAAGTCCATCCTCTCCGTCTTTTGACTGCTCCACTTTTCAGAAAATGTGTGCTCAAACAGGCTGTTTGGAGATTTTCCCTTTATGACATCACAAAGGGCAGTAACCCCTCTGCCCTTTGTGATGTCATGAAGGTAAAATCTCTTAACGGCCTGTTTGAGCACACAGAGGATGGACTTTTCTCATAATGAGGGGGTTTGTAGACAGACTAGAGACACATATTAGTGCTAGAAAATCATAGTTAGCTGTACTTTGCATATATGACTTTTAAAACAATAATAATAACTTTGTATATCACCTTTAATAACACAGGCTTACAAAGTGCTTTGATGTACAAGCTAACGTAACTAGATCAGTGTTTAAAACATTGTAGAAATTATTTAAAGGAGTTAAAAAGTTTGCTATTAGTAAAAATAAAAAGATTAAAAAGTGTTGCATTAAACAATCCAAACGAGTTCAAACAGGTTGCTTTAAAAATTGATAGTTGTTTTAATATGATCCATTGCTTTTGTATCACAGTGACTTAATGCCACCAATTTCAAAATAAAAGTCATTAATGCTAACTTGCACATGTACACCATGTTTAGTAATAAAACTTCACCATGTTTGCCGTGACTTCTAAAAGGTAGCTGAGTTGCTGTATGATGTCACGTATTATATAGCAGTGGTTTTTTGTGTACCTGTAGAGCGTAGGACACGGACAGACCCACAATGCCGGGGTTTAGACTCTCCTTCCCCGTCACAGCAAACAGAGCAGCAAACAGCACTATGCAGTTCCCAATGAACTCGATACGCACGCCGAGCCACCTGAACAACACGACCTTACAGTTAGAAGATTCAGACATCATGTAGAACAAATGAACCGATTTTTAGCTTCTGGTACAAACATGTTATAGGGGCAGAACTATAGAACTGTAGGTTAAATTAGCACTTTGTCACATATCTTCAGGTACGCTGTGATACTGGTCAGGATAAATAAGTCAGGTCACAGCTGTGCTTTGAAGATTATAAACACCTGCGGCGACAGCTGTGCTCCATTGTTGAACTGTTTTCATTTTTCTTTCTTTGTATTCAGCCACTGGTCTGATAAAACTGGCACTGTAAAGTAGCATTGGCTGCAGAATGTATTTTGTCGACATGAGCTGAATGTGAAACACAGTCAGTCAAACTTTGCATCTTCAAGTTGTGACAGATACAACATGTAGACGGCATCAGAACGTGACACGAGATCAACTGTTTGTATTTATTGTTTATATTTCAGGGGCCACAGAGAAATTTGTGTTATGAATTGATTTCAAGAAATTAAAATGGATAAGAGAAACGTGACCTTAAGGGGAAATGTGTAGATGACACTAATGGAATAAGCATTTACTAGAAATCCTGCATAATGGAATTATGCTTTTAAAACACTTTTTTGCTAATTTTGATTATCATATAGCATACCCATTAACTCATGATTATACCACTCATCTGCATTTTCTATACATTTATTTTTGGGCTTTTCATGCCTTTCTTAAAGAGAAGGATAGGGTCGGACATCAGGAGAGAGAGAGAGAGAGAGAGAGAGAGAGAGAGAGAGAGAGAGAGAGAGAGAGAGAGAGAGTGGGGAATGACATGTAGAAAAGGAGCCACATGTCAGATTTGAACCCTGACCGCCCGCTTTGTGGACTACAGCCTCCATACATGGAGTGCACAAACTAAACACTAGTCCACCCGCTCCCTCACTCGTTTGCATTTTGAAATATGACCAACTTCTGTTATGACATAGAGTCAGAAGAAGCTGATATTTGGACCATGAGAATACCTTCTTTTAAACCGTATACTTAAATTAGGTATGATATACATTTTAAATAAGACCTGTATCAGACACTTCTTGTCGTGGATCAGTGACCTCCTGGTGTCCTGTCACATTCATAGGAGAACAAGAAAATAAGATTTGACTGCAACTGTCCTTCATGTAAGCACAAAAACAATTATTTGTGAATTTTTAATTTCAGTTTTTGTGGATGAACAGAATTCTCTTTCCACAGAATCAGGCTAGGGTCACTTAGCTGAGCTACACAGCTAACACCATAACTGAACAGATATTGATTTAATCTCCCCACCTTACTTGCAACATGAAGTAATAAAGCTCATTTATCTATGCAGAGGCCTTATCCATCTCACCAGTGGATGTGAACAGAGGGATGAAAGACGACACAAAGTGTTCTGCTGAGCTGAAACAGGAAACTTACCTGTTGGACACTATACCAGGGTAGTAACTCTTTTGGTTGTCATCCACTTTCATATCACTCATCAGAACAAAGGCAGAGTGTCTGCCATAGGCTCGGATTACACTAGAGCCAGTGACGGTCTCAGAGAAATGGGAGTATATGGGAGAGCGGCTGACTGACTCCAGACGCTTTAGCTGCCGAGACGTGGCAACATAAAATCTCTAGAGGGGTCCGGGGGTGGGGGGAGAAACAAACACAAACATTACAACTGAACAAGTTCTCACAGGTGCAAAATGATATTGAAAACATAATAATGATGCACACACACACACACACACACATACACAAACACACACACACGCTGTCGCATGCAGAGAAAGCCTGTGCAAAACAAAACACCTGCAGTCCTCATCTGAGCGTTTGATAGGATGCCAGATAATCTTACATAAGCTCCTCAGAGGTGGTAAGTTCAAAGTCTGCATGTAAATGAGCTCTCCTGTATGTTACCTCCAACACTGAAGACTGCATCCAACCTCATACTGTACATCGAAGTACCAACCGAAGGCAGAGAACCAGAAATCCCGTTACAAAATGAGTGAGTCGAACTGCAGGTGTTTTGTTTTATCACATGTTTGAACATTTAAAATGTAATGTTTAGTCTAAAACATAAATGCAATTATTTTTCAAATGTTAAAATCATAATTTTCAGTATTTACATTTGTAATCGTATTAATATAGTGAGTGTTGTTTTTTGTTGTTATGGTTTGCAGTATTTTAACATGTTCAATGAAAGAAAAGCCCGTTTGGAAGGAAAGATGACGGACAGCTGATGCAGCAAAGAGACAGGCCATGCAGGAGAGACACCATGACAAGGACACAGAGGAGACGTTCAGAATCAGTGAAGCTTGTCTGAGTCATGAGGAGGTCCAGTTAGTGTTATTATTGAAGGTGATGAGCACAAAATCCTAAACACTCTGACGACTTAAAAAAAAAGAAAAAAAAAAAGTCTCTAATCCAGAGCAGCACAGAGATTTCCAGACTTGTAAATCCCTCATATGAGTCACGCTCCAAAGATACTAGACCCCTTCCTGTTCCAAGTACAGCATTTCTGGACAAAAATAAATAAATAAAGAAGAAGAAGGCTCAAGCCAAAGTTGAAACAACTGTGATGGCTTTTTTTCTTCTTCACAATTTGATGTGTGTTTTCACAGGCTGATATGTACGGAGGCCCTGAAGGCCCAAAAAGTAAAAACAAAACAACAAAAAAAAAACATCTTGTATGCACAATATAAATATCTTGTGTGCAATAGATAATACAATTTTTATTTTATTATGTTGGGCCTCAGGGGCTCGGTATATTTGTATCCCTTGCAACAAAGTGAAATGAGTGGAGATCAGACAGCAGTTATATGCTGACTGTAACCTCTGGAGGTCTGCTGAAGGACTGTGGTTATAATCACCTTGTAGTGAATTATCAAACCTGAATCTACTATAGGCATTAATCCACCTTCATACGACCACTTCCTGGCCACCTACAGTCAGTCATAAGCTCTTTATCTCTCTTTATATATAAGAGGAACCAGTGGAAAAACAACCACAACCCATTGGTCTTAGAGCTAGTCAGTCTAAAATTCTGCATCATGAAAACAACTAGCTGTTCATTTGCAGAATCTTTGCCTGATTGTTTCAAATTCAAATCATTAATGGTTAAAGTAAATCAAAAATGTAATGGTTAGCACTGCACTCAGCTTCATTAATAACAGCTTTCAGGCAGAGCCACATCATGTCAGGAATACTTCAGTTATTAACCAGATAACTAGTTAGGGCAGATTTGACTGCAACAGAAGTTCATTCTGACACTCAAGATCTGAGTGGATCTTGAAAGTAAACTTAAAAAAGGCTAAATAGATAAAAAGATGAATTCTGCCTGCAGAGCAGCCGTGCCTCTCTTGATTGATGTCGTGTACATGTATCAGGAATTCAAATTTATTTTATTTTTAATTAAAATCTTAAAGGTGCATGTAGTTTGGTAGAGAAATGTCAAAGTTGGAGAAATTTACAGTTTCTGTGGTATATGTTCATAACTCTATACACAAAGTGTCCTCAAAGGAACATGTGGTCCCTGTAACACTGTTTGAAGATAAAATGCTACGCGAGAAGTTGTGGTGGGGGGTTTGTGTATTGAGTTCAGAAAATATAGCATAGAAGTGTTCCGCTTTTCCAAATTTAAAATTTCACTACCAAATCTACAAAGTGCACCTTTAACATAGTTTTGGTGTTGAATCGGCGGTTTGCTGACTAGAGCTTCCACAGTCTTAGACTAAAGTCTGATCAGTGGGTCAGTAAGGCCTCAGCCAGCTATGACTACTGACTAGCAGAGACCAAACTACACTGCAGCTACAGCACTAGAGCAGTGATCAACACTCCAACAACATGCAACAGTCTACCAGCACACACACTCAACACTCGCAGACATGCATGTTGTATTAATGAGTTAGCAGACTTGTTTCCTATTTACCTGAACCCACCAATAGAACACCATTAATGGGGCTATGACTATGAGGAACATTGGGGTGAGGGCAGAGCATATGAGCAGCACATTCAGTGTGTACCAGAAAGTGCGCATCCATATGTCAATATTGTCTGGGATGTGGGAGTCTATAGCATCCACGTCTTTGCTGAAGCGGTTTAGTAACCGCCCAGTGGGGGTGCTCTCGAAGAAGGTCTGCGGAGCTCGCAGGACCCCCTGAAGCATGTTGAAGTGCATGAGCTTGGCTGCCTGCAGCATACTGTAGCCCCGGCACAACAGGCAGTTAACCAACAACAGCACACCTGTGAGGAGATGGGTGGAGGGGAGGGGGAGGGATCAAGTGTGACAACAAAACAACACCTGTGTTAAATTGATAAGGAGCCATTCCTGATGTCTAATGAAACAGCAGCTTCTGCTACAGATACATATTTCATATTGTGTGTCTGTGTGTGCGTGTGACAAATGAACTGTTTGTGAAAACCCAGATTGCTGCAAGTGGCAGAAAACATTTTGGACATGTCTCCTTACACTCCCAATTGTGTGTAAAAAAAAAAAAAAGAAGCTGCCTGGGTGACATGTAAGCCACCTGAGTGTCGTAGCTTTTAAAAACCAAGTGGTAGCCTTCATTCATCCTCGCAGAATATTTCCTCCAGAAGGACATTTCAAGGTTGGGTATGACATGATTCGATATATCTTCTTGTAATTTCAACTGTTTGAATCCCTCCTCCCTCCAGTGGCAGCAAACCGTGAAACTGAAAGTTTCAGGTTACATAATTTACATATTAAGCAATACTACAGGTCTGTTGGGCAGAAACTGACACTTAACTACTGGTCAGCAGAAACCAGTGATACAAATACAATACTATGTACAACTACAATAACTGAAATGAACAGAAGGATAAAGATGTGACATGAACTTCTCAGGGGGAAGCAGCCTTGCCATCATTAGACAATGACTGGAAGTACAAAAGACTTTCCTGCAAACAGCAGGAGACTTTTCCACACACCATGAGTGGAAGAAAGTGCCTGCAATCTGAAAGGTCTCAGATTGCAGGCACTTAAGGGCTCCAGATCTAAGGAGTGGCCTTGAGCCTTCCAATGATCCCTTTCAATCACCACACCCTGAAATTGAAGGAGGCTCGCAGACGGATGCTAAACTCTCTGGTTCAGCCTTGGACAAAGTTCATTCTTACAGGTTGCTGCACAGATCCTGGTCAAACAGGCTGGGGAGTGTGGAAAACCACATGCTTGATGGCCACCTGGTAGAGGTCATCACAGGGTCGTCCTTTGATTTGCTAATCCAACTCGTGAAGCAAGAGAGCTAACAAAGGGAGTAGAGCTCATGTATATAGAGCATGCCTTGGCTTAGGGGTGGTGAGGACATCCAGTGACAGTAGTGTCCTGTTCCACAGGAAACTCAAAGCCAGCCATGTCAAAGGAAGTCTAACTCACTCACCCTGAGCTTCCCTTTGAGACTTCAGTCATCTTGTCCATCCTTAATATATGAAATTAAAAAACCGCCTGCATACACATCTGAATATATATTTTGTAATGCAGAACACATTTCAATCACTTTCCTTGTGCATGTTGACACTGTGCAGCATGCTGTTATTAAAGGTGCCTGTGTGACATTTGGCTCATGTGGGTTTGACTAAGAACTGACTTTGAGTATGATGGATTTTTGGGTGCCCGGCCTTATAATTCCAGTACAGACAAAACGTATGATAGTTGGAGTAAAAACTGTGACCTAGCCACAGGTCACAGAACCTTAAACTGCTCACCTGAATTTCAGAGTAGCACGGAAACAAAGCAAGAGTTGTGACTTGCCTCAGGACACAAACAGAACTTTTAGACATTTAGCAGCTAGCTAAAGACCATCTGTAGGCTCCTCACTAGCTTTAATCTGACGCTTATGGACATCCGATTGCACTCTGTGCATACAATCAGGACAACACCCACCAAACAACACAGAGTGGGCTTTCCTCCCTGGACTTGCAGACAAACACACTCAGGCTACCACATGGTATTTCTAGCTGCGACAAACAGGTTGCCTTCATGTACACACATTCCTTTGTTGATATGAGATCACAACTTGATCCAACCATAAGGAGATTTATCCAGATTGTTTACTAGCACTGGCAGCCAGAAAAAAACTACCAGAGTGGTGTAATACAGAGCAAGTCCACCAAAGACTTCTCTTTCATCAGCAGGCTCAACACCACTTTGACTCAAATAAAAAGATGATTCATTAGTAATCATATCAAAAATGGTTGACCTTCATTAACATGTATTCACACGTTTGGCATCCAAACACCAGTCCTCTTTTGTTCCTGAAGTTTAAATCTGTAAACCTCATTTCAAGATATGTTTAAAGGAAGAATGAGCCACATTTTACACATAAATATAGCAGAAACCAAGTATATCCTCTGAAAATGTCTCTCTGAGTCAGCTGTATTTGTGTTGGAGCCGTGTTTACATCATGTTTACATGGACGGGACGGCCGGCTCCTCCCCTTGCATATAAAATCTGTTTTAGTCAAGGACTAGAGAAATGAAGAAGAATGTACTCACTGCTTATTTGAATGTCACATAAGTGTTTTTAGATCACAGTCATACTGTGTCACATTATATGCAATATGAAGCTAAGTGCTAACTAAACAGCGCTAACATTAGCCTGCTAACACAACAATACAGGACACGGGTGATTTCAGCTGGAGCTGAGGACACTTTTGTCTGCCGCTTGCACGTAATGGTGTTTAATTATGGTGAGTTCTAATTCATTACTCCTTTGTGTGAACTCGAGTGGAGGGGGGGGGGGTTGGAGGTGTGTCACTGGAGGAGAGCGGAGGTGTCGGCAAACAGCCGTTTGTCTTGCTTTAGTGCTGGTGTTCAAGGGCAACATCTACTGGATCAAAAAGTCACACATTCTTCCTTTAAGGGTTAAAAATAAGGCATGAAGGATGTAGTGATAGTATTATTCCTAACGAAAGAGAACGTGCCAAACTCATTATTTTAAAAAAAAACTGCAGTAGACAACATATTATTGTACAGGTGTTACTCTGCATCACTGCAAAACACCTCTGATTATGATCTGATTTGAAATGGTTAAATTAAATGTGTATATCTATAAAGAACATATACTGTTTGAGGGAGTTCAAAAGAGAAAAATGAGAAGAAGTCTGAGATTTGTTTAAAGACCCACACAGATTCTTCATCTAACCAGCAAACAACTTGTGTTCTATTTCAGTACCTGCTGGAATCAAGGCACCCTGCAGTTAAATACACTGGACTGTGATTAAGACCCATTTAAGAAAGGAGTGTGTTGTTTTAACAAGCGTCCTCCACTAGAGGGAGTTTACACATCACTAAAGACTGAGAAGAATGACTTTTGGTACCCAACCTGTTGTATACATGTTGAGACTGGCTGTGTTGCTCAACGTGATAGTGTGCATGACTTTTAGAGTGTGTGTGTGTGTGTGTGTGTGTGTGTGTGTGTGTGTGTGTGTGTGTGTGTGTAGAAAGGTTTGGAAGCAGGCTGCGGGCAGGACAGGCTGCGGAGAGAGCAAAGTAAATTCATGATTTAAAAAAAAAAAAAAAGGAGATAATCATGACTGCAGAGGCTCATCATGGACAACATATCAGGCTGCAGAGGGACAAAAGGCAAAACTGGAAGGTTAAAAAAAAGCTGCTGTGCCAGCATGCTTGTGGCATGCCATTCCAGGAAGAGGAAGAGAGGAAAAACGTCGAAAGACAAGGAGGAACAGAGAGCAACATTTAGCACTTGAACGACGTAATCCTGGGTACCTGGACGAAGACGTATATGAATGTCAGGGGTGCTATGACAACAGCAAAGATGGGTGTGCTGGAAACTATAACTATCATGGTGGAGAGAGAAACGAAGACAGTGCCCAGTAACATGAGCACAGTGGCTGGAAGAGCTTCGTCTATGATGTAGATGTCCTTGGAGAAGCGGTTGATGACGCGTCCTATAGGCGTGGTATCAAAGAAAGACTGTGGTGTGTGAAATTTGTTGTCGAGCAGATTATAATGCAGCTTCCTGGCTGCACCGATGTTCCCCATGGCTAGTGTGAAGGAAGAGATCATGACCAGGATACCTAGGAGGAACCAGAGGAGGTGGAATGGATGGGGGGGAAAAATATTGGAGGAAGGTTTTAAATGTGGAATGAAGAAGCAATGGAATTATGTGTAGACATCAACAGCATCTATCCTGAAGGTAAAGGTGTAAAGGTTTAGAAGAAGAACAGCTGTTAAACAATATGCTACACATCTACAACCTTAGAGCATCCAACCAACAGAGAAGGACCAGAAAAGAACAACGCACGCAGATGTAATGTGTTCACGCTCTGTAAATCCAAAGCATCTCTTCAATGACTAAACTCCACAAAAAGAAAACCTCTTACTTGCTGCAAAGCAAATACCTCAAAATATTTAGAATGAAACGAAAAGCAACATAAAAGGTTGTAGGTGGAAGATGGATTTTGGCACCATGGAGAGCACATTCCTGACAGGGTTCATTAACAACTGTAGCACCATGATGTGGCAACACATTAAAACACAGTTTGAACGTCTTTGCAAAGAGCAGCTTTAAGTTAAAGTGTTGATATGAAATAGCATGTGCATAACAATGGCTGGTGTTTAAATTGACAGAATGCTTCATCCAGTTCTTACTGTGTGCAGTGATTCTTACCTTGTGCAATGCCAAGCGCTGCGTACACCCCCACCCTCAGACGAATATTTTCCTGAGTCTGATTTCTTGGGGCGTCATTGGTCCACTGGCTGAGCCAGACGTTCGCTCCGATGGCCGCCCCGCTCTGACAGCAGTACAGGAAACAGATGAACACTGACAGGAGAGGTCCCACTGCCTTTACATACTCCAGGTACACCTTGGATTTTACCTGGTAAAGATCACACAGTGTGAGCTTCTACAGCCTCAGGGACAAAGGATTCATAATGACTACAGTGCTTTTATAATATAGATATGCATCATTTGTTACTTTACTCTTTGACATCAAATAACAGTAATATAGAGAGATGTTGCAATAACCTGCAGATAAAACAGAATTTTTTTTCTATTACAGCCGCCGAGTCTTTATTAAGATTCATGGTACATTCAGGTCAACATGCCTTGCTCTGTCTTCAAGCATGAAGCATATTATATTGGTCTGAATATAATTTGTGTTTTTCTTCTTCCCTGAAACATATTTGAAAATCTTATATTCAGGGTCTAGACTTTTAAAAGTGGCGATCCTATAATCAGTGGGAGGGTTATATAATCAGGGGTTCGTCATATAATCAGGAGAATGTCTTATATATTCAGATGAATGTCATATTCTTAATGAGTTTTTATTGGAAAGGTGATGTTGTTCAGTTTATGAGGACAGGTTTTGTTTGTGTCTTATTGAATGCCTCCCTAAGTTCTGTCTGAAGACTAAATAATGACTTAAGTATTGATAACTAATAAACATAGACTGATAGATTATGTCTAACATGTCACCAGGACCTAGAACTGAAAGGCAGGGTTGGTTACTTTCATGATAGTTTTTGAAAGTAGCATTACTTCAGTGTTTTGAGTGTGGGCTTGTGCACGCTAGAGGTAGAGAACGAGCAGGTAGACAGGGAGGCGTGATTGGCTCATCAGATTGGTACCTTGTGGCAGACATTGGTCAAAGTTTTTACATGTGTTCAACTGCTACAGATGATGGATTTTCTTTGTTCCTTTTTCTGAGCACATGAATTATTAATTTCTGTCAGGACCTAAAGACAATTTCAACCAGAATCTTTAAAAGTGTATCTGGAGAAAATTACCAACCCTGCCTTTAATTAAGACCCATATTCTTAGTTTGTAGGTTGAGGATTCTATTTCTGTGTCAAACTTGAAAAAATCATAGTATATAAATGACCATGTGTCAGTCTGAAAATAAAGACGATGAAAGATTTACATGAAAATAAACAATGACAGTTTAGAGTGAGTTTAAGGACTGACCCTGCCTGTTTCTGCCTTCTCTGCCTGGATGAGTTTCTCCCCGCCCTGTGATTTCCTCTTCTCTTGTAGCTCACATTGTTTGCTCTGCCTGCAAGTCTGCCTTCTCACCGAGCGGCATCTGGGGTTCTCTCCATCTGCTGAAATCACACTGATCTGCCTGTAATGAAAGAAAAACATAAATACAATGAGTGGCATGTTGTCGGAAGGCGCCATATACAAAAATATGGACAATGATTCATGAACATGTCTTCTCTATGTGTCTGGAATGATCACATTTTAAAAGCCATCCAGTAGCTCCCCTGACCATTATGATCTTTTCTTTTAGTTCTACTAAAATGTTTCCTGTTTTGTATTTTTTAGGTATTTCCTCACCTAATAAACTTTCTCTTGGCTTCATTGATCACCGGCTCGTTGTCCACCATGTCTGTGTGGTTGCTAAGGGCGTCCTCGGGAAACAACTCCTCCTCTTCCATTATGTCCTCTATAAAAGCATTGTTAAAATAATATCACTGAGCTGTGTTAAAAAAGCACAACCAAACAGTCCTACAGGCTGATGAAACGAGGTAAGACACTGTAAAGGTAAAAGGATGTTATGCTCTACCAGTGGCCTCGTCCTCCTCTACAATATCCTCCAGGGCGTAGTTCCTGAGAAACTCTGCAAAGGCTCCGTTCTGATTGAGCAGCTCCTGGTAGGAGCCCATCTCTGACACCCTGCCGTCCACCATCACCATGATGTTATCCACCTGAGGCAGGAAGCTGATGCCATGGGTCACAAGGATACGAGTCTGCAGACAAAAGAAACCTCGTCATAAATAACAGAAATAACAGGCTGTACTATTTCAAAGGAAACCTGGGGGGAAATGGAAGAACAACCTCAATGATAAGCTTCAGTTCTGTGACACAAAATATTTGCACTTTACAAGCTGAGAAACAGGAAGCCAACCAGCTCTTATAAGAGGCTGGTGTGATAAATATGAAAACAAACACATACTGATCAAAGATACAGCCTCATTTCAAGATAAGATAGAACTTCCTCTATTGAAGCGTGACAGTCTTCAGCCTCTGTAGCAGCTCTGTGCCATGTTACATACTGGAGGCACACTGGGTCATAAGTTTAAAATATACACATGCTTTTGTTGGCTAACTCCCACCAGATACGTGTGCATAGCGTGTCCGCTCCGGTACGTTACGGCTCCGTCAACCCCCACAGGCTGCATTCTCACAGCTGGAGTGCCGAGACAAAGGAATTGCGAGATAATACGGTATATGTGGTATAAAACCATTTAAATCATAAACAAACACACATACATTTGGATGTTCTGAATTGTCAAAACCGAGTGTTTTATCCTGAAAATAAATGTTGTTTTCGGTGTCTTACTTCCCGTCCCGCTCAATCTTTTCTGTGGTAAATTGATGCGCCGTGTTCCGGCATCTGGAAAAAATAGAAGTTTTGCATATCTGATGCAGAGTGCTCCGGACTGCGGGAGCTGAGACGCAGCGCGGCGGAGCACACACATTTAATTAAGTAAAAACTGCTGTGTGTAAAAAATGTCTATAGCATGGTTAAAAATTCCTTCAGCGTACTTACGGTACTTTGACCTTTACAAGCCTGAAACAGTTGAATACTGTTCAGACTCTAAAGGCCACATTCAGGAAGAGATTTGTAGAAAAGAGCGTAACACTTTTTTCACTTTTTTCACAGAAACAAACTGATTTGTTTTTATTCCTTAAAAGAAAAAAAACCATAATGTTCAAAACCTAGATTTAGACCCTCCTTACTTTGCCTTTCAGACATCCCTCTGGGCCAATGAGGTTGTCAAATATGTGCTTGGCCACATGGGCGTCCACAGCTGACAGCGGGTCATCCAGCAGGTAGACATCAGCATCGCTGTACAGAGCTCGGGCCAGACTCACCCTCTGTCTCTGCCCACCAGAGAGGTTGATGCCCTGCAGGGTCCAGACACAAAGTTAAAATCACATTAGTACCTTTAGTCGTTGACGTGGTTTCTTAACACAGGTTATTTCTCAAGAAAGGGAAATGTCGAGGAAGTTAGAATAGGAAACGATTAAATGTCTTAAGCCTGATGTTTGATGACAAAGAACAAGAGTTTCTGATTCGGTAAAACAGAAAGAAAAAGCGGTTTCTCGGTTAAAGAAAGGAAAATGAAAGTGCTTCTCTTTCGAACCTTCTCGCCTATCTCAGTCATGTCTCCTCCAGGCAGCACTTCCAGGTCAGGAGTTAAGGCACAGGCGTTCATAACACAGCAGTACTTTTGGTCATCGAAGGGCCTCCCAAACAGGATGTTGTCCCGCAGGGTGGCGTTCTGTATCCAGGCCTGCTGGGGTACGTACGCCACTGATCCCTGAGGAGAGAGGAAAAACAAACGCTTATTTGGGAGGTAGTGTCTTTTTATATATTTTCCAAAATTCTTGTCCCAGATTTCTAATAATTTCCTCATATTGCAACAGATTATAACTGGACAGCTACAGAGTTCAGCTCAAGAAGCACAGGCAGACATTAAAAACAAACGCACATATTTACTCTCTCACTTTAAGGGAGATGAGACGATCATTACTATCCTTATTATTGGATGTGCTCTTCTATTAAACTAACTACACATGAGATTCTGTATTTAAACATTAATATGAGAGTGGGGCCTTTGAACAAGGCTATATGGAACATTGAGAGAGCAACAATGCAGCTCTGGAGATGATGCAGGTCAGACTGAATCAGAAAATATTTTTAGTCATACTGTCAAACACAAACACTGAACGGGTTTAAACTCGCATGTTTTGCTTACTTCGGGAATCTGAAAAAAGAACATATCACCAGGTCAAAGCAAAACGATAGCTCAATTTAGTCTTCAATTATTATTATTATTATGACATTTGTTTTTTATGATTGTAAGGCAATGGAAAATCAAGTAGAGCCTCTGTAAATGTCTCTCTGCTCCACTCCTTACGTATAAAAGCTGTTTTAGTCAAGGACTAGGTAATACAGAATCTGAGAACATACCCGAATAGAAACCTCTCCTTCCAGTTTCTCCATTTCCCCCAGCAGTGCAGAGATTAGGGAGGACTTGCCACAGCCAACATGGCCGACCACAGCTAGCAGGGAGCCCTGGGGCGCCATCACGTTAATGCTACAAACAAAAAGTCAGCATTAACATGTTTTAGGGATCACCTCAGGGATACCATGACAGACATGCGACGAGTGCAAACAAAGAGCATATGAGGCTTTTCATGACATACTTGTGCAGAACTGGAGGATCTTCTTTGGCCCAGGTGAATTTCCCGTTGACAACTGTCACTGAGAAATCTGTTGAAACAAAAAAAAAAAAAATTTTTGTTTTTCCTGCAGCTTTTGAATAAGTGACAGTGTAATGTAGTCTGACTGAAAAAAAAAAGGCATTTCTGAACTACTAGCTTTGAGTTACTGAGTGTTCACGCTTTATATTTCAAAGAATGATGACAAAGCAGGTTTTCTGTGTCTGTTAGGCTGTGTTGATTCTGTTTAAAGTTTGTACAATGTGAAAAAAAAACATGACTGAAGCTGAGCAAGGTGGAAAAAAAAACAAAAAACAAACAAAAAACTGTTTTATCTTAACAAAAAGAGGAGTCGTGTTTAGATTTACCTGTGGGTGTGTTTTTCCTGTCAATTGAATTCAGGTCGAGCTCATCGTGACTCAGGAAATTTTGGATTCGCTTCAGTGAGACGCTGGCCTGCAATGCAGAATAAAGAAAAGGCCACTCTAAACAAACCCATGCAGAGAAGGGAGGAAAAGAAACAGGAAATAAGGAATCATTCCTACCTGTACCAAACTGCTGATGACTTGGGGGAGCATGTTGAGTGGAAACCTGAGGATGTTAAAAAGCGAGAGCGATACAAAGGCCCTCTCTGCATCCAGAATGTGGGTCTCATCAACAGTCACGTACACAGCAAATGTTGTCAAGGCAACCTGGAAACACACCAGCAAACAGGCCTCTCAGACATCATGGTCTATCAGTTTACTGAAGAGATGTACGGCAGACTCATCTGTGAAATCTAAACACACCTGAACATGACTCAGCAGTTATATCAGAGTTTTTAATCACTTATAAACTCGCAAAAGTGTTACTCATCTGACAAATAAAACATGACACACTGCGATTAATCAACCAACAGATCTATCACGGTCTGATATATATGAGGATCTATGCAGTAGACAGACATGTGACCTTTAACCTAAAGCAGAGAAAGTATCTCATGTGGAAACTGCAACAACAACAAAAAAAAAAAAGAGGAAGATGCATTTGTTCCCTCAGACTACCCCAATATTTCCTGCTCGGTTGTCATGGAAACCTGCGCAAACATTTACTGCTCTAAATAACACTAAACTAACAGACCTCCTGGAGCAGGTCACACTTTTCACTAAGTTAATGATCTGGGTCAGGAAAAAGGCAGCCAGCTGATGAAAAGTGTTGCTATGGTATTTGCTTGTCCAGTCTTGCTCTGAGGTAAACGACGCCTGACTCTTCTGTTTTGTTGTCAAGTAAGGTTATCAAGCATCCTGCTGGTTACTTCATTCTATAGTGGAGAGAAATCAGGGAGGGAGAGAGAGAGAGAGAGAGAGAGAGGGAGAGAGTGGGGAATGGCGTGCGGCAAAGGAGCCGCAGATCGGATTCCTGCTTTGAGGTCTGCAGACTTTGGATATGAGGCGCGCAAACCAACCAAATACTTTTAAAAAAGGATGAAAATAAATTTGGTATCGCTATAAAAAAAAAGTGCAACATAATCCAAGAGTTTCAAGTCAAACAACTGCATCTTACGCCCTGCAGTTATTATCTAAAAGTTTAGTTTAGAATCCGACCTCGGCCCTTTGCTGCATGTCATCCCAAACTCTCTCCTCCTGTAATTTCCTGTCTCTCTTCAGCTGTCCGATCCAATAAAGGCAAAAATGGCCCAAAATCATCTTTAAAAAAAAACAAAAAAAACAGCATGTTCCTGGTGTAGGCATTGGCAGTCCCAAACAGCATATGATAACACCGTGTGACACATCACTGCTAACTACAATGGCGACTGTTTGCAAAAGTACATTCTATTTATTCTATCAATAACAGATCCCACTTCACCGGCCTCTTGTTAGGAGTAGCCGTCATTGCTGGATGGAATGCTGTTCTGTCCTGTAGCTCATATGTTTGTCCCGTACAGAGCCCGACCGATCAACAGAATTTCGTTAAAGTATCATTTTATTACACTAGCAGTTCTCTATCTGGCTGTCACCAGCAGAGGGCACTTTATGGATTACAGCAAGCATTATCCCCCTCCAGAGTGTCAAGTAGTGACCATCTTGTCTTCATGATGTATCTTTTCCACAAGTGTTTGATAACTGCATTTGAGGGATTAACACAATCAATGTGTAAATCTATATGTATCTCTATGGATCAAGCATAGATTTAAGTAATCATATCGGCCTATATATGGGTATCGGCGCCAAAAATCGCATATCAGTCGGGACAAATTCCTGATACCAGTTTTTAAACTTCAATGTTGTTAGTAAGGATCAATGCAAGATCAACAATACTTATACATTTTTTGTTGTTGTCCTAGGCCTCCAATATTAGATGAGCTCGTAGCCAGGCAAACTCCTGCACACTGTGCAAATACATCAGCACTGTATATGCTTGTTGCAGCTTTTGGTTAAAAATATGATTGAAGATCTGAAGTTTATTTTTAAAGCTTTGTTTTTGCAGAACTTTTCGATCCTATAGGTCATTAAAAATAATGGAGATTTGATCACTTGACGACAGGATGTTTCGAAAAGCAGTAAAAAAAAAATGTGACAACAAGTCACAAGTGTGGGTCACGATCTGTGGTGAGAAAAAAGCTAGAAAAAGCTACAGTACAAGAACTGCTCAACAGACAGACACAATTAGAGAGAGGGCGAACGAGCCACTCCATGCAAAAACATCTCTAAATGCACAGAAGGGCCCAGATTGTCGTATCTTTTTGTAAACATCTAACTTCTGATAGAAGCTAAATTTAGACAGGGTATACACATTACATTTATATAAACGTCACTCCGACCTTCTGGTTGAGACTCTACCGCTGAGCCACAGTCGCCATTCATGCAGCTTGTTGGATGTGTTGGGTCTTACATGAACCAATGACTTTAATTTCTACTTCCTTCCTTTTTGCTTTTAAGAATCTGAGTTTGGCGACATCTGCGCTGAGCATACCAGGAAAGGGGCGCTGGTCCAGGCCATGGTGGACAGCGCTCCCAGGTAGGCTGTCTTGCGCAGAACGTTGAGCTCCTTCTGTCGGATAGCCAGGACCTTTTCTTTGAAGGAGTTCTCCCAGGCGTACAGCTTCAGGACTTTGATGCCGTTCAGGATCTCGTTCATGAGCTTGATACGAGAGTCCTTGTACTGCATCTGCTCCACCTGGGAGAGAAGAAAAGGGGAATGAAGAAAAGGGACATGAAGATGAGGAGAGGAAAAAAAATTGCTCTTGATCCATAAGTTAACAAATGAAATATAATGAATTCCCTCTGTTTTAGATAAAGATAAAAAGAGAGTAACTTGTCATATCAGAAATGAATAATAAAAAAGACATTGGCCTCCGATAAACATAAGAAAGCATTTTTCACAGAAGGGCTGTGTATTGTGTTCTCCATCACTTTGTATGGTGAAGTCAGGCGATAAAGGCATCTCTTCATGGCCAGTACGATCAGTAAATAGAGAGTAAGAAGTTCAAGCAGCAAGACTGGAAATGTTCTCTCACACATTCATCCAATTTTCTTCATTCAACTTAGCCACTCCCTCTATTCCACTTCCACCGCCTCCCTGCTCTGGTGATCATCTGATAATGGGCGTTAAATCTTTAAGTAATAATCCAATCATCCTGCTGCTGTCAAATTTTTAAATCTGTTCTCTCTCCTCCACAGTCAGTTTGTAATTTCTGTGCGATCGCTGCAACCATCCTCTGCCCCGTTCACCTTCATTCCAGCTCAGCAGAGTTCAGATACAGATTAAGAAACCCACTCCTCATCACATCCTGCATTCTTCTATCATCTATCCATCTCCACCAGAGGGGTGTCCTATCTCATTACCCCTCTGGGTGCATAAAGTCATCATGACGGAGTCTAATCGCCAAAGACATTGCACATTTATCTTTTCCTAAACCGTTAAATAAACATTTGTAAACTCTTCTTTAAGTCTCTCCTGATTGAAATATGCTTTAAACAAAGAAAGCCTGGTTCAGCCTGGTTAAAATCACATTCACCCTCATTGATAATAAGTATCAGAAATATGCTTGTAAAACAAATTGGGTCACAGGGGGCATAATTCATTTCAATCTTTACATCATCATCTTCTTGTTTCTACCTGGTAGGCTCTGGTCTTCATGGCGATGACAGCATTTAAAGGGATCAGCATGATCATGACAGCTACACCAGCCAGCACAGATGCACCAAGGGTCTGTCAAACACAGGCAGTAAAAACAAAAGAGACATGTGTTAAATACATCTGTGAACATGTGTAACAAAACATGGAGTATAATGCCTGGTCATGACAATTTATAGTACCGTAAAATACCAGTATATAAGACGCAGGCTGTTTTGGGATTTCCCAGAGAGAATAAAGGTTCAACCCGTCTTCCTGCGTGATGATTTCTATTCATCAGAGTCAGCAATGTTCAGTTTCTGTAGCTCTTTTAGTACAATGTGTTTTCACATTCTGTTTGCACTCCTACTAGCTACAGTATGGTAGTTGAGCTCTCCGCCTGCGGTGAAAGTTGTGAAGTACCCACAGCCCCCTAGTCGAGCAGGCCACCTCGTTAACTTTAAAGAGCCTATATTATGCCCTTTTTTGGGGTTCGTATATTTAATCTATGTTCCTACTTTTGTACGTTCACAATAGCTAAAGTCTGAAAAAAGTGTCTGTTTTCAACAATATACCATCGTTTCTGTAAATGCATAATTACGAACTCATGAAGGAGAAAATATGTTAAAATGTAGTGCAGCCCGCTTGGTCTGCGTCATTATGTATCCTAGCACATCTTACAATCAGCTTGGAATACACAATGAATGGGGTTGAGTTTTCAATCGCGTCAGATCGCGTGCAGTGAGTCGTGGTGGAGGCAGCACTCGCGGTAACATCAGCTTTTTATACAGGAATATTGGTCGCACCAGTATATAGGACGCAACCGACTTTTTAGATGAAAGATTAGGTATTAAAAGTGCGCCTTATACACCGGATTTTACGGACATTCTTATATAATCTGTGCATGTACCTGCCAGAGGAAATAAAGCGCCAACATGATCTGAAGTGGAGCGGACCACAACATGTTGAGGAAGGTGGTGAGGTCCATGAATCTCTGTGCGTCCACAGACATCAGGTTGACTACCTCTCCCACTGTAGATGAACGCTTTGCAGCATTCGTTATCACCAGTGCCTGCAGGACACAACAGTGAAAAGTCTCTTTCTCTTCCATAATGCAAACTGACATATGAGTAGCACTGGGTTCACTTGATAATACAAGTGGAGAGTTATTGCATGTACATGGTGACTGCATTTCCTAAGAAAAAGGTAACATGCAAATTTCTTGCATACCTTCCTGTAGATGGCTCCTATGATGGCTGTGCGTACATTCATGCCGGTGACAAAGCAATACTGAAAGTGCCGATGGAGGATGAGCGTCTGCAGGAAGGCTGTGAAGAACATGAGGAAGGCCAGCGCGTAGCCCCACCAATTAGGAGCAGTCTTGTCTTTTGTGAATGAGATCAGCATCCTATGAGAGTGAACAAAGAAGGGAATAGTTCTTAAAGATTAAACAGTGATGAAACATTCTCCAGTGTGTTTCCTTTAGTCAGTGTGTGAGAAGTCATGACTCAGGATCAAGAGCTTAACTTCACTTTTCTTCTTCTTCCTTTTGTTGTCCTTTGCTCTGTCTTCTCAGATCAAATTATGTTCATGGAACATCTTTAAAGAACTCAAACGAGTCCTGAGTTTCAAATATTCATTAGCTCAAGCGGAGACTGAAAAATATTACCTCGAGCTTCAAAACATCACCTCTTTCTTTAACCTTCAGGGATAAATAGATAGATGGATGGCTATAGATATACACACACAGATATTTGCGTTTATCCATCAAATGCAGAAATAAAACACCTTTCTAAAAGATTTAAATGAAGACAAGATTTTTTTTTACAGTTGAACAAAAGTCAGAATAACAAAAGTGCACTGAAACACAAATTTAAAATGAGAAATTAACGATTATAAATAAAAAAAACTATTAAAACATTTTAAGTGAATAAACAGAGTTATATCGGCATATTGGAGATCAAATGAGCTGATAGTGATGGTCACATGATATGCTGATGTCGGCTGGCCGATTTATCGGTCGCGCTCTAAAAATTACACTCATGACATTGACTTTTTTTTATGGTCCCAGTGGAAAGTGTTTTTTCTTATGAAACAGCATGACATTACATATTCAATATATGCAGGAAAGACATTCTGAAGACATTTCTGAGATGGAGAAAATTGAAATTACAAAAAAAAGCAGCTCACTCCAAATTTCCACCATTTCCATCTGATTGGAAATGTATTTACATAATGATGTTGTTTCCTGAACAACTACAGTAGCTACTATATCAGGTAATCCAGCATGAAAACACGGATCAACATCATGCAAAGAGGCATTCTGAAAATAGTATCCAGGAACACTGAGACAATGTCGGCCTGTTTATAGTTGGAAATGTGCAAATATGGTGTAGTAATAAAAGCGTTCAGTCGTAATATGTAAACCTTTTTCTTTACCTGAGAAGCTGAGGGTTGACGAACGTGATGACATCCTGCAGGAACTTGAAGGCCGAGCCAATCAGAAAGTAGGGTCCGAAGGCTTTGATGAGGGAACGCAGGAAGGACGGCTGGCGGGGAGCAGCTTTCTTATTGGACAACAACACCTCTACTTCTTCAGGGCTGGTTTCACCTCCTCCAACGTGGTTGGTGGTTGATGGCGGGGGTTTGGAGTACAAAGCCTGGCTGGACAGATTCGGATCACTGGAGAATTTGGAGGTTTTTTGGGTCAGAGACAGAGAAGTGGGGATAATGAGTAAGTTTAGTTTAATGAGTTTAATGAGTAAAATTCTGTCTTGGTTTGATTGTCACAAAGGGCTTTAAGCATCAACACATTTTAGTTCAGTCATATCATTGAATCCCTGACCTTCCAGTTGATAGAAGACTCAATTTTGAAGTTGTTGCTCAAAAAAGCATTATGATGAACGACAAATTATGTAATCCTAGGCAGCAAGACATAATGTAAATAGTTTCCTGGAAAGGAATGTTTATCCAGCTAAAGAATCTATGTTCCAGTCCCAGCTTAAAGCTCAGGAGTCGGATTCCAGCAGTGAACTAATTGCCGTCTAAAACTTGACAGAACAACTGTGAAAGAATTCAGCTTAACACCAAACAGGTTTCCATACCACAAGTGAAAAGGCCTTATCGAGCGTTTCTATATCGTTTTACACATTGCTCTCAGAGGCACAATGAATCTCAGACAGGGAAACTGCAGCACAGGGGAAGGAAGCGGCAGGGAGGTCAGAGTTCTCAAGGCTTGTTGAGTTTTGTGTTTGTCCTTAAATTCCTCTTTCGGCACAACGTGGAAACAAACTCCTTCTCTCAGTGACCAGCAGCTACACTTATCACTTCAGCTTTTGTCTCTAGTATGCAGCTGAACACACTTCAACAGTGGAATGCAATATTGAAACATGAGAAAAGTCACACATTCTGCAGCATGTGGAGAAGTGGTTGGGGGAGGGGTCTAGCATCCTTTAAAACTGAAAGTAAGAAACAAAATGACTCCATAAATATACAGAAAACACAAGAGCAACTTCTCCTTCTTTTTTGTTATCATCAGTTTATCACAGTTTGTTTAAGTGTACATTTAACCGCAGTGGTGCAAGTTAAGTACAGACAATAAGGGTCCCTGCTGCTAGAACTACAAAAAGCATTCTTATTATGGTTCCCCTTGTGCAAGAAGCACTGAACATACATCTAACACACACACTCATATAGAGAGAGCACTGCCCTCTAAAACAACATCCTCGCCCATCTCTGTTCTGACGAGGCCGTGGAAGGTGAAGCTGCTGACTTGGACAGAAGCCGCACTTGAATTTTGTAATCCAAAGGCAACAGACATTTGTTTCAAAACACATAGTTTTAGTTTCATACAGTCAAGTTCACATGCACTTGAGTAACACTTGTAGATTCCACTTCCTCTTGTAACTAACCACGTGTCATTTGAACTGTACACACGGCGGTAACACCGCCAACGTCCTGCTGGAAAATCAGATTTAGGATGACACACTTACATTAAGGCGGCCATGATTTAAATATATGGTAATGGGTAATGTGATTATTGAGCTTGTCCATCTTGAAGGACTCCAGTTCACAGAAACTTGTCCTTTCCCTTCTTAACTGGATTTTCTCCCATTAACTCGGGGGTATTCCATAAAAAAAAAAGGTTCTGTAAAAGCTCAGTTACGGACGATTTGATGACTTAATGCCAACTTTTACTTAAAGCCTTACCCGTTCCACTAACTCAATTAAACCATGTCAAGTGTTTTCACAAATAAGACTTGAATAACCTCTAGTGTGCACTCTCATAGTACATGACCATAGTAATTGTAAATATATACAGTATATACTATATAAAAACGGGAAATTCATGTTTTTTTTTTGCAGGGGTGGAACAGAAACCTTCTAATTAAATTAGGTGATAAATGTATCACCTAAAAGCAGCCCTGTGATGTCACAAAGGGAAAATCTCCAAACGGCCTGTTAGAGCACACATTTTCTGAAAAGTGGAGCAGGCAGAAGACGGAGAGGGTGGACTTTTCTCATACTTTGGGGGTTTGTTGTTATAAATACATGGTAATGTGTATTTTTCCACAATACGTGATCGTTAAGTCCCATTCATACATGTTTCTCCTCTTCTTTTACAAACATACCTCTTGGCTTTGGACTGCTCCTTCTCCCACTCTTTGAGAAGTTTGGGCACCATCATCTTGGAGCTGTCCCGCTCGTTCAGAGACCACAGGTCTTTGGCCTCCAGGGGCATTTTGTAGCCTTTAATGGCCATACTGAGGAGGAGAAAAAGAGTAGTTTGAAATAAATACTGCAAAAAAGAAACGAACACTGATGTATAAAAAAAAAAAAGACATATCATCTTAAGGTTTGTTATCCTTCTTTTGATAAAGATAAAGATAAAGATAAAGATAAACTTTATTGATCCCCCGTGGGGGAAATTTGTGCATTACAGCAGCTCCAGAAAACAGGGGACGGGAATATACTTATAAAAAATAAAAATAGAAGTTAAAAACAGATCAAACATATTTACATCATTTAAATAAAAAAATACAATACTGTAAAAAAATACAATAATGTAAAATTACACAGTAACTTGTTCTTAAAGAAAACACACACAGTGTGTAGCACCCTTCATCTCGAAAACAACTCGTATGATGCTCCCTAAAAGACACTCAACTGAGCTGGCTGGATGTTGCTAATCATCATTAAGTGTAAGCAGATTTTATTTCCCCGGAAATTAGCTAAATGTGCTTTCCGGCTCAAGGGGGAGATTGGCTTACAGAAGAAAACAGAAAGATGATGCTTTAGTTCCATAAGAAACAGCGTCCTCTTTTTTTGATGAATCAAAACAAGTGCAGATAATAGGAGAAGTGCTGGTTTGAGCTAACAGCCATCTGAAACATGGCCTCACAAAATGTACACGATAGCTCCCCAGTGATTCTGTTGAAACTACATGGAACACTGCAGGCGGCATCAAAGTGTCCAATTTAGAGTACACAGAAAAGGTGATGTGTCATAAAACATTGCCACTGGTTTTGCCAAAGTTCATCACCCAATTCACCTTAGAGCCAATCACTTTCCAGCAGCCTCCTAGGAAGCTGTGCAACTGCTACTGAATTAAGCTGCTTGGAGAAATTAGCTGCCACGATGGGAAAAATTAATTATTTATCAAACAACTACAGGCAATAATAATAATACACAGACAGAAAAAAAACAATATTTCCTTTTATTGAGCCTGCAGGCAAGCTCCTAGCCAGCCAGCTAGTTAAGACTGATTGTGAGTTTGGCTTTTAAGTTGATGATTCAGGTAAAGTAAGAGCGGAAATTTCAGTAGCTGTTTTGTTACTTTGAAAATAATCTAAATATAAATGTGTTTCCTCAAGATGGTACACTACTTTACTAAGAGCAGTAAAATAGAGACTTTCTCTGTTGCTGCACAAGCCAAGACGAGCTAGCTAACACTGCAGACGCTATTGGCCTGCTTCACTAAGAATTGTTTGTGGCTGCTAATAAAGCCAAAGATTGCGCGGCTCGTTTGCTCCCGCTATCTGCTCCATCTGATGATATTCATGCGCCAGCACGCCCACAGAGTTGTCCTGCTCCGTGTAGTGTGTTCTTGTTTTGCGTCTGAGTGTGAAGAAAAGCCGCCTGCACCTCTACTCTGTGCAGAGATAAGCTCTCATGCTGACAGAGCTGTTTCACCCACATAAAGATGATGAGCTAGGAGAGGAGGGGAAACTTTTTTTAGAGGTTTTTTTTTTTTTTTTATGCCAGACATTAAATATGTGAAATTAGTTTCACTGTTTAGAATAAAGGTTTCTCTCTGAATGGAGCAAAAGTGCGTCCTGATGCACAGTGGCTCTAAAGCTCTCCACAGATGTGCATGAAGTGTCGAGTCACTGACGGCTCCAGGTTGATTTAACTAGAGATGCACTATCCACTTTTTTTTCAGTTCCGATCCGATTCCAACACTGAATCCGATTTTTGTCATATTGAATAATTTTGTTGTTGTTGTTGGTATTGTCTGTAAGGCTGCACAGAGATGTAATGAACCCGGCATTGTGCTGGCTTCACATACAAACAGGAAGCAGCAACAACCGTCAGGTTCTCAAACTAAACATTTTAAACTGAAGTATAAGAGTTGTACTTTTAATTATATAGAAGGAGCTGCTCCATTTCGTCTGAGGGTTGTCATGGAGACGATATGTGGACACTTCTAACAGTTCAGTCTGAGCGTCTACAAAGCGAGACTGTGCGAGTTGAGAATGTTTAAAGTTGCCTAACCATCTTTCCTGATCAGTGACATGGATTGGCACCCACAGTTCGATATCCGATACGTAAATAACGTCAATATCGTTATGATACCGATTTAAGATCGGATCAGACCATCTATAGATGTAACCCCCAGGGAGATAAATAGAATTGTCAAATGAGACAGGTGCACTCAAGACGCTGTCTGCTAGGTAGTGCAGTCTGCACACATTTCAGCCTTTGCACATGCTTTTTGGATTGCACATTATCTTTTTCTCTCATTCGCAAAAGTTAAGCAGCACAATCCTTCTTTGGGTCAGGCCCTTTGTCTTACTGAGGAGTAATCAAGCTTGCAATGTGGCCAAGATTATTCTTAGCCTACAAAGCCTGGCGTGTTAGGCAGGTAACTGTGCAGCTCTGCTAGGTTAATTAAAGATGTAGAGAGGTTTACTGCAGCACTAGAATCTGGTTGGTCATTTCAAGAATAACTTAGCCTTTGTTGTTTGTAGCTAACCAGAGCGTTTGCTATATTTTGTAGCATTGTTGAGCTACCTTGCTTTAGAGAGTCAGGGGGGTAAATGATTGGCTGATTATGATTTGTGATTATGAGTATATTATAGATGATAGATAAACACATGTTATTAATATTCTTTTACTGAGTAGCTAAATAAGATCACAATATTTTCAACATTGGTTTTTGGTGCAGTTACAGAGACCCGGTGTGAACCCACCTCGTGAACCACCAAAACGTGATGGTGGAGAGAAAACCCGCTGTGGCTTCAGGACAGGGATTCTGAGAAGAAAATGAAAAAAGTGCATGAAAAAAAAAAAGTAGGCCAGAGAGGTTAAACTGGGATAAGGAGGACGTATTTCTGAGAGCAGCCACAAACACTCGTGCTGTCTATGAGTGTAAATGAGAGTGTGACCACTTGAACAAGCCCCACAGCACACTCAGACGTTCAAGCACTCAAACAAGATGTTCTCACATACAACACACACACACACACACACACACACACACACACACACACACACACACACACACACACACACACACACACACACACACACACACACACACACACACACACACACACACACACACACACACACACACACACACACACACACACACACACACACACACACACACACACACACACACACACACACACACACACACACACTTCATGGGTTCTGAGTGAACACTGAAGTTGGATGGATGACTCACAGGGTCTGTGACAACATTGGAGAAGAGAGGCGGTTTCTCGTTGAAGCAGCAGAGGATCAGTTCACAGACCACCAGAGCGAAGTAGAAGTAGAACGTGGTGAATCGCAGCTTGTCGGTCACTTCGCTCTGAAATGTCAAGTGGGGACACAAAAATACAAATCCAGAAAGAGGTGAGTTCAGGTACACTGTAGTTATGATGTATCTGATTTCTTTTTCCCCAGACAAAGTCGTTCCCCCTCCTCCAGTAAATTGGCACCAGTCAGTGTGAGGGTGGATGATAGCTAACTTGAGCTTTTGGCGCTCATCGCCATTACATTTGAATTGTGATTAATTGTGTAGCCCTAGTATATGGCTGAAAATGATCAATGAAATCCTTCATTACATCATTAAAAATTCACAATAGAGTAATATGAACAAGAGCCCGATCGATTAATCGCCCAGTCGATAATAACAGCCGATATTAGCATATTAAGTGACTATTGGTATCGGATATTACTAGATTTATACACCAGTCAACTAGCATTTCATTTGAGTATCATTGTATCACAATCGCAATTCACTCTCTGGCAGTCACCAGCAGAGTGCTACATGGATCTTGTCTTCATTACAAAACTTTTCCAAGGTGTATGATAACTTATTGAAGGATCAACGCGTTATGGGTAGATATATCGGTATCAGTTTTTGTTCTCTTCCTAATATCGATATCGGTATTGATCCCAAAAATCCCATACAGTCAGGCCCTGCTATGAACCTACTTCCAGATGTACAGCTTCACTTTGAGTTATAATGGGAGTTGATGTTAATGTTCTGTCATTGTTTTTTTCTTTGAGTAACCCCTTTGTGCTTTATGTTTGTCAAGTGCCATATCATTACTACTTTTACAATGTTGACCTTACACTGTTTGTTCTTGGGTGTTATATTACCCGCTGCTGTCTGAACACCATCAAACATATGGTGGACTATTTAGCGTACGTAAGAAGGGGGGGGGGGTGTGCAATAGCATGACTGTAACACAGAGCAGAGGTGTGTTGTTCCATCAGTTACAGTTTATTAGGGACATGATGTCACAGTGTCAACATGTTTATCAGACTTTATTATTATATTGTGGTTATTAAGATAACAAACAGCCATCCATTGATCTGAGTTCTCTCCTCCACCACACACAATCGCCTGGATCAGCTCTACAAAGCCATGGAGTGGTAACACCTTCCCCTCTGCAATCACTTTTATTTTTTCTGAATCATATTTGGACCAACTATCTGGATCAACGTGATTAGAGCAGCTCAAGTCTGCTGTAGCCTGAGCTGACCCAAACACATGGCTGACCGGCTCGCCACCTGCCTTTCTCATTCTCTGACCCACTGACCGCCCTAGGCTCGGCGCACACGTGTGTCTGCCCGCTGCATTACTGTAAAAGCGCTGGTATTACTTTTTAATCAAAACAAGGTACAAAAAACAGAATATTTGGGGCATTTTTGGAAACAAAGACGGATTAAAGCTTGGGGGGGGGGAGTACAGAAATGCCTCACATGTGCAGCATGAGTTTGTAACAACCACAACTGATCCCAGTTATCCCAGAACAGTTAGACACACCTTCTGCTACCTGGCATGCACCTGCAGGTCCTACAGTATATGTGACATGTCGTCTGCCATTAACCAAACATGAAAGATGCTCTGCCCACGCGTGGATTAAATAAAAGCAAACATCATACATATTGAATCATGGCGACTTGCATTTCTTGCCCATCTGTCTGGGGTAGTGGATTCCAGATTCAGGTTTCTAATAGCAACAAACATTGTACATCATTTGCTCCCACTATCTGCCCTGTCTCCAGGTCTAATTTACAAAGCGTTAAGTGCAAGCGATATTCCAGCACTAATGTGTGGGCTTTTTTGGGCCTTTATTGTAGAGATAGGACAGTGGATAGAGTCGGAAATCAGGGAGAGAGAGAGAGTGGGGAATGACATGCGGGAAAGCAGCCACAGGTCGGATTCGATCCTGGGCTGCCTGCTTGAAGGACTACAGCCTGTGGGCGGCTGTGGCTCAGTTGGTAGAGTCGTCGCCTCGATCCCCAGCTGAGCAACATGTCCAATGTGTCCTTGGGCAAGACACTTAACCCTGCATTGCTCCCTCTGCTTCGGAGGGGGTGTGTGAATGATTAGTGTTGTACTTACTCTCTGATGTACGTCGCTTTGGATAAAAGAGTCTGCTAAGTGAATTGTAGATGATGGTTGTAGATGATGTAGCCTCCATACATGGGGCGCGCGCACCAACCACTGCGCCACCAGCGGCCCAAATGCGACTTGCAACCCCACTTTCTCTTCTCATCTTTTCTCCCTCGTTAGATCAAAATCCTGCTTTTAAAGTAAATGGTGGCATATCATTCTGTAAAAAAAAAAAAAGCTTGTGGAGTGCTTGATTGATTAAAAGACTCCTCAATTAAAAGGCAACGAGTGACCAGCGAAGGTGAGCAGTGTGACTCACAGGCTGTCAGTACAACACAACCTTCACAGTAGCATGAGAGCTCAACTACCGTACTGTACCGTACAAAGTGAAAACAGATGGTACTAAAAGAGCGACACGGCTGCTGCACGGAAATGTCATTTTGTAGACTGCTGAGCACAGTGGAAATCCTCACAGGTTGACAGCTTAAACCTCTTTTTCCCTCTGGGAGACCTCCAAAATCAGATCTTTTATTCCAGAATTTACGGTACATTTTCTGGAGTTTTGTGCACCCATTAACATCAAAGTTGTAAATTGAATAACATTCCTAAGGAAACAAATTGATTAATTCAACTGTAAAATAATCATTTTTAGCCTGAAAACAGCCACGTGTTCGATTTTGTGTGAGAAAGTTGTCACATGAATTTGTGGTATTAATCAACAACTGTACTGTTTTGATCGTCATGGATATTTAATGATCAAGCTGACTTGATAGATAATTCATGTTTCTTACTAGCTTTTTTTCACGCTGTCTTGTCTTAATGTGTGTATTCCTTACATTTCTTCATCTTTTTGCCTGCAGGGTTTGTTTGCTGCTGCTCTGTTGGAGAGCTGTGCAGCACTGGAGGTGAGATAAGTATGTAAGGAACAACAGGCCTACTATTCCCTCTCTGCTTAGTGGTGGCCTGGTGTGAACCCTTCAAAACATCCACTCAGTGTAAGCTCCCGACCAACTCTTGAGACAACAGCGGGGGCGAGGGAGGGGGGGGGGGGGGACTGCTGCAGTGTATTCTTAAACAACAAGAACAATGAGGATGATACGAGGCAGAATATAAGAACAAAGATGACTTGGAGTACAAGTCGGCAAGGAGACAGTTACAGTTGAGGATAAGAACGTGAGGGAGATGCTGAAGTGGGAGGAGGAAAGAGCGCCAGGCGGAAAAGATGAAGACAGACATGTGATGAGAGAGGCATTTGAGGACTGCGGTGTGTTCTCACCTGACTGGAGGCTTGTAGGATCTTGGAGCGGAAAGGCACGATGGCACACAGCACAGACAGGAACCAGAAGAAGAAGAGGACCCCTGAGGACTGAACCCCGCGTAACCTCTCAAACTGGATCAGAAACGTGGCCAACAGCTGAGAGAGCAGGGAGTAGGGGGGGGAGAGAGAGAGAGAACTGAGTTAGATTACTGAGGGCATGTAAGGTGAGCCACAGTTTATGACTGGGTAAATCTGTCATACTGAATGTCGGGCTGCAGCACGAGTGTTGCTGCAGCCGAGTGTTCTGGGTATTTTTTGAATCCCCCACACACACCTCAAGAGAACAACAGACACACTCTCCTTATTATTAGTGATGGCTTCAAGTACTCAATGATGTCATCGTTAAAGTGATGTTTCACTCCTTGCACACCTGCACACATGCTGTTTTAGCTCAGTTAGCGGTGCATGCACCATGTCATGCCGTGACCAGGGAAAGGGATGTGTGGAAGTACTCTGACAAAAAAGACGATGATAAATTGCAGCGACCGTAATGTGGCATTACATTTACATATGATAGAAATACTAGTCTGATGCTTAACCTCATGTTCTTTAAGCAGGAGAAACCAATGGAGACAGACAACAGGCAGTGGCGTTTCACATCGTTTGCTCATCAAGCTGATGCGATAGCGGAGAAGATTATGCTGCTAATGACAAAATCGGTGACTGCAGATATTCTCCCATTTGCATTTGTGGGAAGAGAAGGCTTCCACGAGCTGAAGGCGTCTGTCGAGCCCGAGTTCAGGCCACAATCAAGACGAACAACAGCTAAGAGAGTGACAAAAAAGTGACTCTTAATACAGACTTGTGAACGCTCAGAGTTTAGTAAATATTAGGCTAGGTCCAGGAGGTGTGTGTCTGATGTATATATTACATTAAAATATGTTGTTAGAGAGTGATAGGTCACTCTTTCTTGCTGAAAACCAAAAACTACTCTAACAGGCTCAATAAAAACACATTCATTACTCTGACAGGAATGATGTGTATTGTTTTATTAACAAACATCCAACTGTGTGTCCCTAATCAATACTGCAGACTTAACCAAAGCAGCTCAACTGAGGTTAATGGTGCTTCGGTCCTTAGTGCTGCAGATATTTGTCTCATACTGAAGTCATTCTCATATCAATAATCTGACTGGTGTTGAGGTCTTTGACTGGAAAAATGTAGACTCTGGACTTTCTTAACATTTGTTAAGCTATTCAAATGTGGACCAAGCAAATGAGCGTCCTAAAGTGACCCCACTAATGTGGCAAAATGACTTTCATAAAACATGTGACATTCTAGGAACATTGTTTTCACAATATTTACAACCCTGTTCCCCTCTCTAAACTCGATTGTTATTATTATTATTTTTTAAACAATATTTTTTCTTGAGTCCGCCTGTCTTCTAAACTGAGCACGCTTCATAATTATGAGAGAGAGAGAGAGAGAGAGAGAGAGAGAGAGAGAGAGAGAGAGAGAGAGAGAGAGAGAGAGAAAAAGGGACGCGCAGTCGAGTCCGTGGCCGCACATCAGAGAACAACACAGAGAACATGACAGTTGCTTTGTGTCTTTACTTTGAGTCATTTTAGTCAGATACAGCCATGAGACTCTGGATTTCTCCATAATGAAGGCTGTCAGCGTTATTTATCCGCGTGCTTGTGCACGTGCATGAAGTGTACTGTGACGAAGCACACCTCTTTTAAGCGTGCCAAAGCCAAGGAAGTGTACCGTGCTTGAGCACAGCACGGAGCGGTCACACTGGCCAAACTAACTGGACTTCAGGGTTTAAGCGTGCTTGGGCACGGTACGGATAGCCAGTGTGACCGAACCCTTAAAGGACTTGGAGGCGGACACATCTGGCTGTAGATGTTCTCCCGATGTGTTTGTGGATGAACTTCACAAAACATTTGTTATTTGTGTCTTTAATTTTTAATAATATATTGTTTGTATTTGTATGTCCGGCTGCTCGTTTGTGTGAAACTTCGTGAAATGTGCTGCTGCCTTATCTCGGCCAGGACTCTCTTAAAAAAGAGATTTGTAATCTTAACAAGTTTCTTTCCAGGTTAAATTTCAAAAAGTAAAAGAAAATTCTTCCAAAGCGTGTGACCTTTTCATGTCAGTTGCATCCCAAGGTTCACTTAAGATGTGTTTCAACTGAAACGGTAGGGAAGCAATTTATCTCTCGCCTTTCTTTGCAAACAAGAATCTCCACAGACCAATTCATTTTCTCTGAGTGAAAGTACACCCTGTGCTCTGAGTGACTGTACATGAACCAAACCGGTTTTACTGGAACTTGTGTCAGACCACCTTTTTTTTTTTTTTTCCAAGAACAAGCAGATCAAGGGTTTTAAAAAAAAAACACACAGTCATCATGTGCCGTTTGTATCAAATGCAGGGTGGTTCAAGCCTTACTGAAAATCAAGAGGAGCAGGAATGTGTCTTTCCATTGTAACAGGAAGGAGGTCAAATATCTGTATTTACACAGGCTGCAGTCATGCCTCTGCTTTTACTCACTAAACAAGTTGTACTGGCTATAAACTGGTGTCTGTTCCAGCTATCCAGTTGAAATGTAATAATAATTAATGACTACATAAATATGAACACTAACATAAAATGTGTCAAAATGGCAACCCATGAATGTTATCTCCCACTTCAAATGAAATGTTTACGCAGTAGTTTTCTCATGATTTGGTATTTTGTCCTCTATATTTCTTTATTCAGATATTCTGGACAGCGATGAAAACGGCAGGCTCAGTGAGGCTATCTCTCATCACACTGTGTCCTCAGATAACGTCTCTGCAGCGTGAGCTATTCATCTGCTTGAATTTGAATATGTAAAATAATGTTTGTACAATTCCACGGTAAAATCTATATTTGTCCCCGAGCCCTGACTCTTCAAAAAGTGATCATAAAAGGTGTGGAAATGTTTACCCAATACAAAGTGAGGACTGATAGAAGAAAAACACGCTCTCCTATAAAAAGCCATACAAATATCTTCAGGAGATTTTTTTCTTCACAGGATATGAATTTCTGTGCAACTGGAAATCCTCTCACCATGGTCATGCCAAGCACCAGCGGGGTGATGAAGAAAATGGGCGGCTGGCTGTTTTCCAGCCGCAGCTCGTGGAATGTGTAGAAGAGATCTGTCCAACACACGATCCATAACAGCAAACCAAACACCTGAGAGGAAACAGAGAGAGAGAGGGAGCGTGGGTACAAATAAAAGAACAGAAAGGGGAAGTTAGTGAGACGGTTTATGGGCTGACAATGTATGCAAACATTATAGGATGGAGGAGTGTATTTACAAGTCCAGACCAAAAAACAGAGAACTGAAAATTGACAGATGAGGGGCGCCGTGAGCCGAGTGGTTAGTGTGCGCACCCCATGTACGGAGGCTGGTGGCCACGGGTTCAAATCCCACCTGTGGCTCCTCCTTTTTGCATACTCCCTACTCTCGCTCTCCCTGATTTCTGACTCCATCCACATTCCTATCTCTTCAAATAAAGGCATAAAAAGCCCCCAAACAAACCTTTAAAAAGGCAAATTGACAGATGGAAAGCTTTACACTCTGTTCACATTCTGTGTTAGGATGTTCATTTTAACCAGCACTCATGAGTAAAAACCACCATCATTGGAACAGAAGAAGCTGTGAGATCCATCCATCCATTATCTATACCGTTTTTTTCCAGTTTGGGGTTGGGGGGAGGTGGTCTGGAGCCGATGCCAGCTGTTATTGGATGAGAGGCGGGGTACACCCTGGACTGGTGGCCAGTCAATCACAGTCTGACATATAGAGACAGACAACCAGCCACACTCACATTCACCCCTATGTGCAAGTTAAGAGTCACCGCTTGACATAACGAGCATGTCTTTGGACTGTTGGAGGAAGCTGAAATATCCTGAGGGACCCCACAGCATGCACAGGGAGAACATGCAAACTCCACAAAGAGGGGCTCCTGTCAGACAGGGATTCATACCAGGGACCTCCTAGCTGTGCTACAACAGGGCTAACCACTGCAGCAACATGCAGCCCAAAGGTGTGAGATGAGGAAAGACAATTTTTATCCCGTGTCTATGATTAGAAAGCCAGCCAGCAAGCAGTGTCTGAAATATTAACCGGGGATGTTATCGGCTTCAGGAAAAGTAGCCAAAAAAATGTAAATCAACACCATCATATTTATGATCCAGTGAGTGATATTTCCCTGCATTACAGAGCTGAGGGAGAAAAGGAGGATTAATGCAGTGTTTCCCACAAATACCTGGGTGGGTAACTAAACCAAGAGAGCTGTATCACATCCGCTTCAGAGAAAGAGAGAGAGAGAAGGTCCACTCTCCGTACACCTCTCTTGCTCATATCAAAACTGAAGCTTCTCATGGCTTCTTTCAAAAAATTTAAATGTACAGCTGCTTGCTGCTGGTGCTGTCTTGAACTCCTATTAATAACGGAAAATCGAGTGAAACTTTTCAAAACGCAAGGCGTAAACCTGGCGGTTGTGTGGATGGATAAATTGAGCAGATTAAAGTTGTTTGTTGCAAAACTAAATTAATTTAGAGGGGAAAACACGTTTGATATCACTACAAACCTAGTATTATAATATACCCTAAGATATCTTGTCATTCTGTGGGAAACACTGTAATGTTAAAACAAAATGTGCAAGCTTCACATTATGGCTCTGCCAGTTACCCAGACTCAGCTGCAGTAGCTTTTACGCAGACCATGAGGTAGAGCAGTGGTGTAACAGTCCTGTTTGAAAAGGTTGTGTAAAAAAGGCGACTGATGAAAGAAGAACGCTTTCCACACTGACAAAGAACGCTTTCCACACTGACAATCCAGACCACTGTGATGTCATATCAAACCAGGGCGTCCGTACTTACTGTTTTGATTCTGTTCATTATGGACATCATGATGTATCCTTTGTTGTTTCTCTTGAGATAGAACAGATACAACGGACTGACGGCCCACAGGTAGATGCACGGCAGCCATGACAGGACAGACAGCTGGAAACACTCTGGAAGGTCGGGTCGATTTGTGTGCAGCGTCTGATTGGCTACCTGCAGAGACACACACAGGGGGGAAAAGGCATTTTAGCTCACAGTCCTGCATAGTCTCATATCAAATACAGCCACACAGCGCTCTGTGAACCATGCGAGACTCTGACTAACATGCATCAGCACACTTCCACCACCCACACAAACACAGCATCACACCCTCCTCAGACCAGATGCTTCCCATTGACTAAACTATGTAAACTGTGGAGAATGTGTATCTATGTTCAGAGGGCAGGAAAACATGATGTTTCAGAAACTTGTGCAATACAGCAAGAACATTTGAATCAAAATTCCACGATTACCAGCTCAACGAGAATCCTCAAAGAGGCAGGTTAAAAGTTCAGATCAGCAGCATCCTGCAAGTATTTACTGTATGTTATTCACTACTCTTTTTGACTGAGAATATAAAATCAAAGCCCTGAAACATAAATGTATCTACAAATATGTATATTTATTTTTGATTTATTAGAGCACATAGGCACAGGTGAAAGGATCTGTGGCACAGTGAAGCATCATACAGAGCTTTACAACTTTCAGGTGTTTGCAGGGTGTTTACCTTGAAGATATTCTCATCATAGCAACAAAAGAGTTCAAAGAACTACCCTGAAATGTTTCTTAAAATATTCGAGCCATTTCTCAGTTCAAATCCGCTTACTGAGTGATTCCTTGAAAATACTACACAGTGAACTTGAGCTCCGAGTAACAGACTGTGTAGCTCAAGGCAAAGCCGCCCATCCTCCCTTACTCTTTTTTTTTTTAAAGGGTGTTTTCACACATGCACAAAACTCTCGTAAACGACCCCAAATGTTCAGGGTGAGCTGCATGTGTGAACACAAAATAACAGATCTATAACTCCGACTTTTAGCGGCCATACAGTTATTAAAGTTTCTGTGTGAAGTTGGGGTAAGCTGATGTGTGAACAACAGCAGGTAAAAGTCATAAAGGTTCACCGCAGGCGAGAGAAAAGGGGTTGTGACGTCTTTATCATGAGAACAATGAGATTTTCATTGAAATACATTTTGAAAGAAATGGTGATGAAAGTTGAGGTTGCCTAAGCACGCTTCATCCGCAAAGTTTGTTTGATGACTGTGAGTGCTCCTATCGGTGCTCAAGTATGGTACACTTCCTCAAAGTTAAGGATGGAAGAGGTGTGCTTCAGCACAGTACAGTTCACTTAAGTACAGAAATAGGGTTTTTACGGAATAAAAAGTAAATGGAAACGCCTTAAGAGGATGTAAAAAACGGGTGTTAACGGGTGGACATTACTCTTGACTTGTCAGTTGGTCGTGTCAGGGATGGTTTTTAAGTGAAATGAGACATTCAAAGACGCAGAGGTGTTGTTCTTTCCCATTGCTGTGCCTACAGAGAGACCCCACTGTCTGTGCGGTGGCTGAGCTACGGTACACCTGAAGGGAAAAAATTCTACTCGATCATTGCGATTCAAATATGAATGCACAGATGACAGACGGAGAGAGTAAAGCGTTTGATGTCATGAAGTGGAGATCACTTTGACTCGTCAACTGAGCTGTCTGCAATGTTTTTAAAGTGAAATGAGACATTCAAAGGTGCATCGGTGTGATTCTTCACCATCACCATGACAACACTGAGACACTGCAATTGATAAAGGCAGAAACTCTCATTAAAGTCCTCCATCTCGGAAATATTTTAAATATTACAAACCCCAGCATCCTTTCCGTGTCAAGTCCTGCCTCCTGAGACCCAAACCATCCGATTTGTGAGTGATAAATGTGAATTAAAACAGGCTGCATATCTGAAAACATGTAAAAGCATGAAGTCCGTGAAGTCTGAAAACGTGCATGCTAACTGTAGGACTTTATCAAAGCAGCTTTCAGTTCACAAAAAGGAATCTTAATCCAACTCAATTCTCAGCTTACAGGGATCTCCTCAATTGGTGTGGATAATTGGATTGGAGCAGCTTGTACATAAAACATAGCGACATAAAAAAACTAATAAATTGTACAATATAAAAGCATCAGTAAGCCGGGGGACAAAGAACAGAGCATTCATTATTCTGATTGCAGAATCGATACATGATATAAAATAGTGAAGTGACACAAGCAGGCTCAAAAAGGAACACGCCTTGATGGAAGCAGAGAAATATTTGCCTGGACCAACATGTTGGGCAGGAGCCAAGACCAACCCCCTCCCCCCATCACTCTATGGGAAACATTAAGTAATTACCCTCTTTGCACCGCTCTCATTTCTCTTCCTCAATTATGGCGCTCCGCTGTCAGTCATCGTAGACAAGCAGGACGGAGGCACACACACTTAACGTGGAATAGTTGGAGCTGCGCTTTTCACTTTAAAAAAAGAAGAATCATGTGGGAGAATTGTGATTCACATTTTAGTTAAGCATCGAGCAGCCATAGTCTGTATCGAAAACCTATCAACTAGAGGTGTGAAATTCTCCTTTTCAGAAAACTCCAATTCTCCAGAGCTCTGATCCGATTCAGGGAGGATTCATTAAAATACAGAACGATTCAGAGCAGTGATATGTAGTGTTTGAGTAAGAGGCAGAGGTGAGCTTCTGTTTGATTAGAGTTACAATCACAGAGTTGGTCATGTAGACAACTCTAAGCCACAAGTTAGGGCAGCTTGCATGGGGACCCTGACCCCTAACCCTACCAAAGATTGCCTTAAAGGTCAGTTTAAGTAAGTCGCAGAGGTCCCCAAAACGTGTCTGTGAATTTTCTCGTGAAAAATCCACTTCGATGGGGCACTGTTGACCTGTGCATCGAATATATGGAGGCTATGGTCATCGAAGCGGGCGGCCCAGGTTTGAATCCAACCTGTGGCTCCTTTCCCGCATGTCAATCCGTTTCCATCTCTATCCACTGTCCTATCTCTCCAATAAAGGCACAAAAGCCCAAAAATAAATCTTTCAAAAAAAAAAATAATGTCTATAAATTCCTCTTTTTCAGCCCTGTTCAGAACAGTCACTTTCTGTGGAAGGGGATGATGCTTGGGCTTTCTTGCACCATGCTCAATTGTTTACGTTCAGAAGGCAGAACAAACACCTAGCTGTGGGAGTGTCACCCACCTGGGGGAAAATCTCCAAACGGCCTGTTTGAGCTCACATTTTGTTTGTCGACACATATTAGTGGCAAAAAAACACAGTAAAGTGTATTTTGAATAATATGTGAAATTTATAAAAGACCTTTGATTGGTCAGAAAGAAAGAACCATTGGTGGAAAGCACAGCACTGGACAAAAAGCCAAATCCTACCCACAACTCATTTGTTTGTTTCAGCAGTCTGTGGCACTTAAACTACACATTCACAGCACATATTGCTATGACACTTATCTCCCTGCCTACCATCAGCAGGTACTATCTGCTCATGAAAACACAGGAGAGAAAGCACTAATTCTGGCTCCAAGCAAAAAGCAAAAAGTAGCTCCACATGTTAACATATCAATGTTAAATTTCTCCATGACATTGTATGAAAGTGTATGATTATTTATTTAACTGCTGGAGAACAATAACTGGACAATCCAGAGGACATCCGGAGAAGAAAGGCAAAGTAAACACGGGTCACGGTGTGATGCGGCCTTGACTCTGCAGTTATCGTGCTCTCCTGGACTAACACAGTCGAAGGCCCACCCACAGAAAGAACCAAGATAAACACAGCTGCCAGGCTCCGACCACTCACCATTCATAACCACACCCTCCTGCTGAAGCATGTGTGTACGGCCACTGTGAGTGGGTGTGAAAGTGGTGTGGTGGTTAAAAGGTGAAGGGTAATTGCTCCTGTGGGTTTACAGTGAGTAGAGTGGAGGTAAGCTAGAAAATGTCTCCTCTTCTTCATACGCTCTTAACTTTTTGGCTCATGAATCCTAAACATTCGGGCAGCGTGTTGAAGTGGCAGTTTCATAAGTCTTCCTTTACAGCAAAGAATGAACTAACCACAAGACATGATTTTCCTTTAATCTAAACCCCTTAATCTTTACCACAAAATGGATGAACTAAAGCTCATATAATAACTCAACAGAAAATAAAATAGACACTGAAGGTTGGAAAAGTGGATTTTTCATATCTGCAAAAAAACACAACAGAAAATCCAACTTTTTTTGGTCATTATTTTAGAAGCAGAAGTCACACTTTCAATCACTCCAGTCTGCTATTCTTGGTCTCACTTGGAGGTAAATTCAATTTGTTTGCTTTTTTGAACTCTTGGTCTAGATTACAACACATCCCATCAGGCTCACTACTGTGAAGGGCAACTTTCACACCTTTCTGATGTCTTAAAAAAATCAAACAATCTTGAGAAAATATTGGATTGATCAAAACATTTAGGTGGGCTTTAAAAAGCTGACCATGAACAACGGTGTAAATGGTTAAAGTTTAACTAGCATGAGTCATAATTTACCTCTCCAGTAGTTTACTGCTATCTCACTATTATAAGACATCAAGTACAAGGTGAACGGGTGCCCCCCGAATATTGGGTCATTTCTTGTTTTTAATTACCAGTACCAACTTTGGAAGCAAACTCCTGCACACTGTCTTAATTGAACACATTGGAATTAATGGAGTCTTCACTTGTTCCCAAAAATTGGGGATAGAACCATTTTAACATAATTGCATCACAATTATCCAGTTGAACTGACCTGTGAACTTGAATGGGCAGCCCTTGCTCGCTCTCTCACACGCAGGAAAAGTGGGTTAAAAATTAGGCCCGACTGATTTGGAATTTTTTGGGCCAATACCAAATTGATATTAGAAAAGAAAAAACCTATTGATATATCGGCCAATATCTTTTTTAGATCTAACTTTGATATAAGATCAATAGATTTTTGCTTTGATCCCTCAAACACGGTTATCAAACACTTGTAGAAAAGGTAAAATATAATGAAGAGAAGATGGTCAACTGTGCATGTACGTGCATCAGCGCTTCTCTAGGGAGTGATAATGCGTATAGTAATCCAGCGCCCTCTGCTGGTGACGTCCAGAAGAGAAAGCGTGATACAATTAAACTCAAATTAAAT